ATATCTATCTATTGGACAGTTAGTTATGATTTTTTTTTTTTTGGTTTAAAGGTTTTTAGCCCATCGATGACGACGACTGTTGCGACGATTGAACTACCGATCCGTCGGGCGATCGCTGCAGCGAACTGGTCGCCTGTTGTCCCGGTCCACCCGACTGGACATTCGTTATTTGACTGCCGTCGGGCGACATCATTGTCAACGAGAAACCTTGTTGTTGGCCAGTAAACGGATTGATAAACGGTGCCATCGGTTTCAATGGCGTATATTTCATTGGTTTCATTGGCGGAAATAGACTGTCAAACGGTTTCATCGGTTCCATGGGTTTCATCGGTTCCATGGGTTTCATCCATTCAAACTGGTCAGACCTGTCCACCGATATTGTTAACAACAATACTAATACTACTGCTACTATCATCATCATTGGTAGGCCACCATTGATCTGATACCAGTGCCGTAAGTTTACTGTCCTCATAGTGATGGCTGATCCCATAATCTTGAATATATATATATATATATATAAAATAAAATAAAATTAAATTAAAAAAAATAATTAATTAATTATAATAAATAGTTTTTATAATAAACACATATTTATAGTATATTAATATATAATTTTTAAAAATTGATTTGTTATTATAAAATAGATTCATAACATTTTATTCAATATATATATATATATATATTTACAGCATTATAACTAAATCTAATTTTCTATATATATATATWTAATATTATTTTTATAATATTATATATATATATTAATAAACAATTTTATTATTATTATTAATATATTATAATTATCTAATCCTAATATTTATTTTTGGATATAAAGATCTAAATGTTACTTACTTTGGATATAATTTTGATATATTTTTATTTATATATTTTATTTATTAAAAAAAATGAAATAATTAATTAATAAATTGTTATCAAATAAATAACGCAATAATTTTTTTTAAATTAAAAAAAATATATATTAATCACTTGTAAATATATACACTATCACTAAATAATTAATAATTTTCAATAAATAATAATATTACGAAAAAATTGTTTTTTTAGTAGAAAAATAATTATTTTTTAATATAAATATTGTTATTATTATTATTAGTATTAAATAATAAATAGTTTTTATCTATTAATATTATAATATAATAAAATGGTGATCATTTTATATAAATATATTAATATAATTTATAATACAGTATATGTAGAGTATATTTAATAGTGATATACAATATGGTATTACTGGTATTAAATTAATTCAAAATATCAAAAAAATAATAATTATTATTATTATTATAAATAAAATTATAAATTTCAATATTATTTGCAATATTATTAGTAATCTATTATTTACTATTATTATTATTATTATTATTATTATTATTATTTATACTATTATATATATATACTAATTATAAATAATAATAATTAGTAATTTTTATTCAAAACATTTACTAATAAAACAAATACATTTAAAATCATAGCGAAATTTAATTTAAATAATAAACAAATTAATAAAAATTATTTTAATGTTTATGAAAATTAATAGTAATAGTAATAATAATATTTATTTTATGAATCATAAAAAATTATTAACAATTTTTATGATTAAATAGCATATATGTATATAATTTTTTATTATTTATAATATATTTAATTATAATTTTTTTAGTACAGTTTCTTAGAAAAAAAAATTATATATTAAAAAAAATCCACAAATTATATGTTTTGCTCAATTAAATTGTTTTCAAAGAAAAAAAATAATAAAATAAAAACTAAATGATCCGGTACAATAATAATAATAATAATAATTTGCTAGATTAATAAATAAAAACATAAAAAAGTATATAAAGTTATACTGTATATACAGCACATGCATACCGGTATACCTGTATATTAAATGATATATAAAATACATATTATTTATATATAGCTAATTAAATAATGGCGATGAATAGGTTGCACACATACATACATACACACACACACACACATACACACACACATACATACATACATACATAGACACACACACACATACATACATACATAGACACACATATAATATACACTGAATAAGATATTAAAAAATAGATTTAAATTATTAGATTTAAATATACAATATTAGTAGTAATAATAAAATTAAAATAAATCACTAACTTTAATATTTTATTATTATTATTAATCATAACAAATAGATTTTATACATATAAAAAAATTAACATTATAATAATAATAATTATCTAATTTTTTTTTTAATACAATAACAATTAAAATAAAATCAATAGAAACAGTAGAATCAAAACAATAGATAGATAGAAATTATTATTTTTATTTTATAATAACAACTATATTATAAAAAAATACTAATTTTTATTTAATATAATACTTATATATATATATATATATATAATTTTTTTTAAAAATATTTTAGTTATTACTAAACATTATCATTATCATAATCATCAAATTAAACAAGATCAATTTTAAATGCTATCATATATATATTTATGCAGTCCCTGAGCTGCTGATGGCTGGGTGGGTGCCTATCGCTGCTGGTGCTTATGTATACCCTGTACCAACTACCTCTGGAGCTTCTATACCATCAATAGCTACCAGTGCTTCCATAATATCATCTACTAGTCTATCAGGTTTGGCATCTACGTTGGCATCATTGGGTTCATTAGATATCAGTGATTCCGGTTGTTGCGGATAACCGGATGAAATAACTGGTTGTATATCTGGTTCGGTAGGTTGAGGTGTCTGTACGATAATAGCAGGTAACTGATCGATAACAAATTCCGGTAGTAACTGTGCGATAGCTGCCGGTCCCGACGGTAACTGTAAGTGATTATTAGGTGATGAATCGGGTGTCTGTAGGATAACTGGTCCGGTAGTTGTTTGTTTGACTACCGGTCCGGTCGTTATCAGTTTGACTACTGGTTCGGCCGTTTGTTTGACTACATGTTCGGCCGTTTGTTTGACTACTGGTCCGGTAGTTGTCTGTTTGACTACTGGTTCGGCCGTTTGTTTGACTACTGGTTCGGCCGTTTGTTTGACTACTGGTCCGGTCGTTATCAATTTGACTACTGGTTCAGCCGTTTGTCTGACTACTGGTTCGGCTGTTTGTCTGACTACTGGTTCGGCCGTTTGTTTGACTACCGGTCCAGTCGTTGTCCGTTTGACTACTGGTACGGCCATTGTATGCGCAACTACTGGGACTACAGCGGCCAGTGTTTGTCTGATAACTGGTTTGTCGGGCGTCGTTGTCGTCGTTGTGGTCAGACCTTCGATGTGTTGGACATTGATTACCGATTTGGATCCGTGAAAGGCATACGAACGGACACTGGCCTGACTATCGTTATCCGAGTCGGCTATACTGTCGGCCTGTACTTTGATCTCCTGGTTGTTGTTGTTGTTGGTGTTGTCGGTATTTGTGTTGAATTTTGTCGGTCTGGCCATCACTACTACCGACACCGATAATAATAATAGGATAACTGTGCCGATAATAGACACTAATAACTGCATATTATATATCAATATATAGAGAGATGCAGTATATGTTATTATTTTTTTGAAGGGGGGGTTGTTTTTTAAAAGGTGTAAGGTTTTAATGGGGGGAAAAATAAACTATTAATTATTATTATTATTATTTAATATTATTATTAATCTAATTATATTTTACATAATATATATATACAGTATATATATACAGTACTGACATTTTATATACTGTTTATATATAATTTATATTATTTAGTTACTTGATATTTAATAAATTTTATTTTATTTTTTTATAAAAAACTAAGTTATTTAGTAATATGATTATAATATGACTTAACATTTTTTATTTTATTATATATTTTTTAAAAATTATTATTTAACACTTTTAACACTTTATACTATATATATTATGCAATTTGTAATAAAAATAAATTACTTTTACTGTACTTTAGATAATCTAGTTTTTAAAATTAAAACATAGACTATAATTAATTTAAATATATTTATTTTTTATTTATATATATATATATATATATATATATATATATATATATATTTCTATACCTGCATTAATTTTTGAAAAATAATTTTTAACTAATAATATATTTTATATTTATAATTTATATATACTGTATGTTTATATATTATAATTTGAATTTTTGTATATTAAAAATTATATACAATTAAAGTTTAGTTAAAAAATATTATCAAAAAAAAAMCGGGAAAAAATTATTTAATAGTTTTTTTAATAAAATAATATATAGTTTTAATAGTAAACTAAAATATTTTTTTTTTGATCTTTTAGTTTCCGGGAATTTATTTGAAAATTTCCTATATTTTTATTAGGAAATTATTTTATTTTATTTTTTGAAACTATATAAACAATATGGCGACAAAAATTTCTAATAATTAGTTTTTTTTTGAAATTAAACATTTTAAATATAAAACATTTTTATTATTTTTACACCAACAAAATCAGCAACTACAATTAGTTTTTATTTTTTTTTAAATAATAATAATTTTATACTAATGCTAAATTAATAATAATAATCATAATTTTAAATAACAATTTTTAGACAAAAATTTTTTTTAATTCAATATATTTAAAAAAAACAAAAAACAAAAAATCATTTTTTTTAATATATAAGATTAATAGCAAAAATAAAACAGCTCCAGGTGCTAGATGCTGCTTATAATGGTGATCCTGAAACAGCAGCTCCCGGTGCTGCTCCTGATGGTGCTCCAGTAACAGCAGCTCCCGGTGCTGCTCCTGATGGTGCTCCAGTAACAGCAGCTCCTGGTGCTGCTCCTGATGGTGCTCCAGTAACAGCAGCTCCTGGTGCTGCTCCTGATGGTGCTCCAGTAACAGCAGCTCCTGGTGCTGCTCCTGATGGTGCTCCAGTAACAGCAGCTCCTGGTGCTGCTCCTGATGATGCTCCAGTAACAGCAGCTCCTGGTGCTGCTCCTGATGGTGTTCCAGTAACAGCAGCTCCTGGTGCTGCTCCTGATGGTGCTCCAGTAACAGCAGCTCCTGGTGCTGCTCCTGATGGTGCTCCTGAAACAGCAGCTCCCGGTGCTCCAGTAACAGCAGCTCCTGGTGCTGATCCTGATGGTGATCCAGAAACAGCAGCTCCTGGTGCTCCGGTAACAGCAGCTCCTGATGGTGATCCTGAAACAGCAGCTCCCGGTGCTGCTCCTGATGGTGCTCCTGAAACAGCAGCTCCTGGTGCTCCTGAAACAGCAGCTCCTGGTGCTCCGGTAACAGCAGCTCCTGATGGTGCTCCTGAAACAGCAGCTCCCGGTGCTCCGGTAACAGCAGCTCCTGATGGTGATCCTGAAACAGCAGCTCCCGGTGCTCCGGTAACAGCAGCTCCTGATGGTGATCCTGAAACAGCAGCTCCCGGTGCTCCGGTAACTGCAGCTCCTGATGGTGCGCCTGAAACAGCATCTACCGATGGTACTACAGCTGGTGCAGGTGTCGCTCTACCAGGCAGTTCGGGTACAGCGGCTGAAACTGCTATAACAGGTGCCGACGGTTGCTGGACAATAACCGGTGCCTGAGGTTGTTGTGAGATTACCGGTGCCGATGGCTGTTGCGAAATAAATGGTGCCGACGGTTGCTGAGAGACTACCGGCGCTGACGGTTGCTGAGAGATAACGGGTGCCGACGGTTGCTGTGAGATTACCGGTGCTGACGGCTGGTGTGAGATAACGGGTGCCGACGGTTGCTGTGAGATAACGGGTGCCGACGGTTGCTGTGAAATAACGGGTGCCGACGGTTGCTGTGAGATAACGGGTGCCGACGGTTGCTGTGAGATTACCGGCGCTGACGGTCTCTGAGATATTACCGGCGCTGACGGTTGCTGCGAGATAACCGGTGCGGACGGTGCCTGTCCAATAACTGGTACGGCTGGCTTGGCCTGGCTGGCCAAGTTATCGGCTGGATTGGCCGGTCCCTGAGCCTGAGCTTTCGGTGGCCTAACACCTTGACCGTCGGCTTTCGATAGGGCACTGGACGACGAATTACTATAGGCTCGGGCTACCGAATTGGCCAGACCTTTATTGTCGGCTTTCGATCCCGATTTGGACAGCGATCCCGAACCTGAATCCGAACTGGCATTTGCTTGGCTATCGTTATCCGAATCCGATGTCGAATCGGCCTGCGATTTGACCTCATCGTTGTTGTTTGATTGCGAACCGGGAGCACCGGGAGCACCACCGGCAGCACCACTGGGAGCACCACCGTGAGTACCATTGGGAGCACCGGGAGCTGATGGATTGTTGTTGGCCACCTGGGGTCGGGCCGATACCTCCGATAGACTGACGGTAGTTCCCACAATCAACAGTGCCAACAATGATAATTGCATTTTATATGTTTGGGTTGGTTTGGTTGGTTTTTTTTTTGTTGAAGGTAATAGACTATCTATGATAGTATGCTATATATAACTAACTAACTAAACTAAAGTTTTGTATAGTTAATAGCAATTATAATTAACTATTTATTTTTTTTAAATGAAACTAACTATTTGTGTGATTGATTGCAATGGTGATGACGGGATGTTTGTAACTTAATAACTGTGCACACGGTTTGGTTGGTTGGTTGGCTAGTTTTGAGTTGGATTGGGTAGGTTTTGGTTGGTTGGGTTGGGTGTCATGTTTGTCAGTAATGATTAAATTAAAATTAATTTACAGATGTTTTTTTTTTGGTGCCATTTTTTTTAATTAATTAATTAATTAATTAATTTGTTGGTTAAAACACTATTTTTTTTAATAAAAAAAAACTTTACAAAAATTATTGCAAATAATTTTTTATAATATATATATATATATACAGTATATTTGATATATCAATATTAATATTACACATAACACTATTACTACAGTATTACTAATAAATTATATAAATTATTAGTAATAGTATTAAAATGTTACTATTGTTTCATAATTTTTTTTTTAAATATAAATATAATATTATACTATAAAATAGTTTTATTTTAAATATTATATATATCTAATTACAATAGAAATTTCATCTAAAATTTGATCTATTTAAAATATATAATTATAATTTTTTATAAATTATTTATTTTTTTAAGATAAAAAATACAATAAATATTTTAAATTATTAAAAAAAACTAACACAATCACTAAGTAATTTAAATAATATATAGTTTAAAATTACCAAAAAAATATATATATATAAATAGTATTATACAAGTAATATGATATACACAGTAATAAAAAAAAGGGTTTAAAATTTATAATTTTTTTAACTTATTTTAATTTATTATATATATATAATATAAGGTATATATACTATATATTAATAGTTATATATATAAATTCCTTCCACTAGATTTCAATTGCCAAATGTTTTTTTTTGATATATATTTTCCCCTAAATTTTCGCCCATATATTTGCTTATATTATTATTATTATATTTATAATAAAACATATGTAATCAATATATATATTGTTAGAGAAAAATTAAATTAATATTTTTTAAACACTAAATTTATTTTTAATTATATGTATAAGTTTTGAAATAATTACTGTTAGATTAAATGATTTTAGTATAATTTTTATTTTATTTTATTTTTTAATAAAAAAGTTTTAATACCTACTAACTTTTTATATATTTTAAATATTTTTCATACATTTTTTTTCTGGGAATAAACGGGAATTTAATGGGAAATTTCTATATATATATATTTCTATTAATGAAAATGGCTGCCAAACTATATATATATATATATAAATAATATGGAGAATATATAAAAATTAATTAAAATTTTAATAATACATTTAGTATTAATAATATTAATTATAATATTTCTTTTTTTAAAAAATTATAATAAATTTATTATTTCAAAAACAATTGATTGTTTAATTATAAATGTATAATAAAAAACAACAAACAAAACATTAAACAACAAAATAATAATAATAATAATTTTATTAATAATAATAATAATAATTTATATGCAATATATAGATATTTAGATATTTGTGAAAAAAAAACAATTTTTGTTTATAAATATAATAATAAATATTAAGCTATTGTTTTAGGGTTAGGGTTAAGGTTATTGTTAGCTAATAAGGGGATTGAATTTTTTTTTGACTGATTGTTTTAGCAGTGTTTACTTTGATACTGCCTTCGGTGCTACTACCGGTGCTGCTGATGCTTCCGGTGCTGCTACTGATCCAGGTGCTGCTGATGCTCCTGGTGCTGCTGATGCTCCTGGTGCTGCTGATGCTCCCGGTGCTGCTGATGCTCCTGGTGCTGCTGATCCCGGTGCTGATGCTGCGGGTGCTGCTGATCCAGGTGCTGCTGCTCCCGGTGCTGCTGCTGCTCCTGGAGCTGCCGGTGCTGCTGCTCCCGGTGCTGCCGCTTTCGGCTGTCGTACGCCCAGACCGTCGGCCTTGGCTACGGCATTGGACGACGAATTGCTGAACGCACGCGAAGCCGAATTGGCCAGACCTTTGTTGTCGGCTTTCGATCCCGATCTGGATATGGATCCCGAACCTGATTCCGAATTGGCATTTGCTTGACTATCGTTATCCGAATCGGATGTCGAATCGGCCTGCGATTTGACCTCTTCGCTGTTGGCGGCGGGAGCTCCGGCAGGGGCGCCAGCGGGAGCACCGACAGCGGGGGCTCCGACAGCGGGAGCTCCGGGTGCGCCAGCGTGAGCACCGGCAGCTGGGGCTCCGGCGACGGGAGCTCCGGGGGCGCCAGCGGCGGGTGCTCCGACGGCGGGAGCTGCGGCGGCGCCACTGTTTGGTTGTTGTTGTTGGGGTCGGGCATCCGCTAGGATAACTGTCCCGATGACCAACAGTGCCACTATTGAGACATGCATTTTATTGTTATGTTGTTGTTGTTGTTGTTGTGTATTAACTGAAAGCTAATTGAAAACTAAACTATCGGTGATTTTTTTTTGTTTAGTCAATTAGTTTTATAGATAGACTACTACTATCTCTCTCTCTCTCTCTCTCTCTCTCTCTCTCTCTCTCTCTCTCTCTCTCTCTCTCTTTCTCTCTCTTTCTTTCTTACTTACCTATTAGGTAACAGTCAAGTGATGACGGAGTTTATGTAATATAATAACTGTCCGTTTTTATGTGTCTTATGTTTTGTCGCTATGAGTGGAAAACAGATGTTTTATTTTTTGGTAATTTTAGTATTTTTTTTCTTTAAAAAAAATAAAATATTAAAAATAAAATAAAATCTATTTTTTGAGTGATTTTTTTTTTATTATATCATATTTTTTTCATAGTTATACAATTACAGGACGTCTGTATATATATATATATATATTTATGAAAATCTAATTATGACTCCCCCTCCCCACCCCCTTCCTCGCTCTCTCATAACATATTACAACCCCACCCCACCCCTCCCTTCCTAATAAAAACCAAATCAATATTATTTACGCATTAATTTAAGTTTTTTTTAAAATATTAATATAATTAACACTTAATTAATTTTATTTTATGTATTAATAAAAACTGTTATATTAAACAACAACAAAATATTAGCCATTTTTATTTAGCCATATTTAATATATATATATATAGTTATAATTATTTTTAATAAATTAAAAAAAATGTCTACTCTATGTTAATTAAAAAAAAAAATTTTTTTAAATTAATATAAAATTATGATTTAAAACAACTATTATAATAATAATAATACAAATTATTATTTAATTTTTTTGTTTGTTTAGAGATATTAATAAAAATTTATGACAATATTTTGTTAAGTATTTTATTTTTAGGTGTAGAAAACATATTATTAAAAAAATTAAATTTTAACAAAAAAATTTTTAGCATTTATAGGATAATTTTATTTTTATTTTTAATTAATAATTTAATAATAAATTGCTGTATGAGGGGTGGGGTGGGGGTGTGGGTAGGTTAGGGACTAGCAATACTAAAAAATGGCTACCAATTTAATAAATTTTATTTTAATTTATATATATATGTTTTATTTTAATTTATTTAGGGTAACTGTGCCGGGCTATAATAAAGTACAGTATTATCATCATTATTAACTACTATAAATAATTATAGTAAAAATCAACAATAACAATTAGCAAACAAACATACAGTATATACAGTATAACATCCACACACACACACACACAAAACAAATAATTATTAATAATATTAAAATAAAAAAACAACAACATTTTGTTTGTAATTAAATTTATTTATAAAAAAAATAATAATAATAAAAACAGCAAATTAAGCAATTAACTTAATAATAATTAAAAAAAAAATAAAACATAAAATAAAATTTAACAACAACAACACCAAATAAAAAATTTAGTAATAATAATAATAATTAAAAATGTTTATATTTTTTTTTGAAATATATTTTTTTAATAAAGAAATTTTTCAAAAAATTAATTTTAGTTTAGTTTAATTTTATGGATAATAATTAGATTAGTAGTAGTAATTAGTTAGTATAGTCGGTCCCTAAAATAACCCATCCCTGAGTCCGTCCCCACCTCCTCCCTAAGCGGCCGGGGCTGCCGTCGAAACTACTGGCGCTGGTTTCGGTGCGCGGACACCCTTGCCGTCGGCTTTGGCCAATGCATTTGAAGAGGAGTTACTATAGGCACGTGAGGCCGAATTGGCCAGACCTTTGTTATCGGCTTTTGATCCGGACTTGGATATAGATCCCGTACCCGAATCGGAACTGGCATTTGATTGGCTGTCGTTATCCGAATCGGCAGTAGCGTCGGCCTGGGATCTAACTTCTTCGTTGTTGTTGGCGGCGGCCGACGGGTCTTCGGCCGGTCTGGCCATTGACGTCATTATGGCCAGTGTACCGATTAGCAGGATTACCAATGTCAATTTCATTATTGAATTATTTTATTATTAAATTAATATAATATATTTAATATATATAACTAATGTATGATAGGGTATATACTAACTGACTGATTGATTGACTGACTGTTTGCTTAATAAACTTAATACTAAAATGCAATGATTTTATGATTTTGTTTTAAAACATATARAAAAAAAATTTAATAATAAAAAATWWTTTTTTTGCTAAAAAAAAGCCCAGATTGTATAGTTATAACAGTGTGTATAGTTGGCAAAAATAAAATTTAGGAAATTTTCCTGGAAAATTTCTAAATAAAAAAATTTCTGCCCATTATAATCTTGAAACAAATTTATTTTATAATTATTATAAATATTAATAACTAACTAAATTTTTTTAATATTAGTATTATTATTTTTTGTTAATATTCAAAGTTAAAACAATAATTTATCTAATTTTAAAATTAAACTAAATATATATATATATCAATTATAAATAAATTTTTTTTGAGCAAAAAAATCTATAATTATATTATTATATTTTTAAAAAAAAACTAAAATTTACAACTAATATAGTAATGTAGTGTCTACTTTATGTTGTATTACATTAATAATGAAAAATAAAGTAAAAAACTAACTAATCCTGATTAAAAATTTTATTAAAAATTTTAATCAGAGAAACTTTATTAAGAAAATTTCTTTATTATTATATTAAATCTAGTTAATTGCTAATTAAATTAATTAAAAAATTAAAGTAATTTTAATTAAAATTTGATTTCCTAACGTCAAAGTTACAAAAAATTATTACTACATATACATAAAAACTAAAGTATTTGATTAGGCAATTGATAATTATTAGTTTTTTTTATAAAATTATTAAGTTTTTTAAGTTTTATTTTTAATAAAAAAACACTTATTGACTAATATGATTGGTTAGATATATCTATATACAGGTACTATAGTGAGAGCACCTCCTTTAATAAATATTTATTTATTTTTTTTAATGATTATGGACGTCCTAATCGATTGATGCCCTATAATTTTTAATTGATGATATGCGTCATATCAACTGTATATGTATTTGATTTATATATATATTAAAAATACAGTATACGTGTATTAAAAAAAATTATTTCAACAAATATAGACTAAAAATTTGTTGTAATCATAAAAAAATATTTTTTCAATAAAATAGATTATTACACAATTTTTTTCAGACATATTTAATTAATAAAAAATTATTATTTTTTTTTAATTATTAAAACAACCACAAAAAATGTCTACTTATTTGTTATTAAATAATTTTGTTGTTGTTGTTTATATATATATTTAGATATAAATATAGATATATAAATATATATATATATATATATTTATAGATATTTACAATCTTTTAGCTAAAAAAATCTAAAATTTTATTATTTATTTTAATAACAAAACATACGTATATAACACATAACATACAAATAATAATAAATTTAAATTAAAGACTAAACTTTTTAAAAAAAAAAATAAATAAATAAATTTAAATAATAATTCAAACAAAAATATAATAATAATAATAATAATTTAATTAATTTTTAATTAATTTTGATTTAATTTTGATTTAATTATTTATTTGCTTTCTTTGTCTTCTTTGTCTTCTTGTTTTTTATCCTTTTTTTCCGCCTCTTTGTCTTCTTTGTCCTCTTTGTCTTCTTTAGCCTTATCTTCGCAATCATCGCCCGACTCTTCAGTAGTAGTCCTTTGTTTTGATTTCTTAGTCGACTTCTTCTTCTTATTCTTATTCTTCGATGTCTTAGCCTTTGACGACTTTGTCTTCGGTTTGTCTTCAGTTGATTTGGTTTCTTCTGCTTCTTCTTCTTTCGATTCTTCAGTGGATTCTTCTGTTTCTCCTTCGGCTACCGTTTTTTTCTTCAGTTTGGCCAACAATTTGTCGGTCTTTTGCTGATCAGTCCAATCAAATCAATCAGTAGTCAAACCAAACAAACAAACAAAACAAAACAATTAATTATTTAACCAAACAATGCGAAAGAGAGAGAGATAGAGATTAAGAGACTTAGAGTTAGAGAGGGGACAGGGAGTTAGAGGGGGGGGGGGTTGGGATTGATGGTAGATAAAACAATTAACATAATATTTATTAATTAGGGGGAGGGGTGGGTGAGGATAGATCTAGTGGTGGGTAGTGTGGGTAGTGTGGGTAGTATGGGTAGTATGGGTAGTATGGGTAGTATGGGTAGTATGGGTAGTATGGGTAGTATGGGTAGTATGGGTAGTATGGGTAGTATGGGTAGTATGGGTAGTATGGGTAGTATGGGTAATATGGGTAGTATGGGTAGTATGGGTAGTATGGGTAGGGATGGGTAGGGATGGGGGGGGGAAGAAAGTTTTATAGAGTAATATAGCTTATAATTATTATAAAATTAATGATATACTTTAGCTCCCTTTACGGCCAAATCGCTAACCGTGTCCATCGCAGCCTTGCGTATGTCCTCGTTGTCGGCCACGTCGGGTACGTCGGCAACGTTGGCCGCTTTTTTCACCTCACTATCCGTATCCAGTGCTACATCGGTCAGTGCGCTTGTTTTGCCGCCGGCGCCGCCTTTGGCTACTTTGGCTACTTTGTTGGACAGTTGGCCTAATTTTGGCAGTTTTTTCTGTGCTTTTAGCAAATCGTTTAGCAGGCCGTCGACCGATGACAAGGAGATACAGGTGCCCACAACTATCAGTGCTATCGACAGCGTTAATTTAGTGGTCGCCATGTTTTATTTATTTTTTTTTTTGAAAAATAAAATATATATATATATTTTTGTTGGTATAAATGGTTGCTATTACTGTATACTAATATATTAATAAATACTGTATATATGATTACAAAATAAATTATGTAATATTTTATATATATATAGCGGTTGGGGTCGCTATTATGCTTTGCGTGTGTTGACCGATGATAGCGATTACAAGAGATGACAATCGATGGACACAAGAGTTAATTAAATAAACAATTTATTGATTGATCATAAAAACAGTGTACAGTATTATTGAGTTAAGAAAAAGAATGAAAGTGTTGGGCGGATAGGGATATGAATACAACAATAGATAGTCAGGTGAGAGAGAGAGAGAGAGAGATAATAATTACGTTCCCCAAAGTACTCCCCCCGAAGTGGCTTGGCCACGACTAGAAGTAACGAAAATCGGGGTTAGTATTGATTCGAACGCGACGTCCAGAACGAGTTGTCAATGGTTTAGATGCTGATGGAGTGATTTGATTGTCGGCATCTAGTGTGTTATTACTTGTCTGTTGTGTTGTAGGTTCGACCGGTGCCTGGATGTATGCTGGCTTGAGTCGATCTATGGTAACAGTAGACTTGCGACCATTGATGTCGATGTCGAACGTCTTGTCTGTGCGGATGAGTACTTGATATGGGCCATCATATGGTGCTTGTAGTGGTCGGCGGACAGCATCATGTCTTAAGAATACATGAGAGCAGTTGCGTAGATCAGTAAATACGAATGTTCGGCGCTCGCCATGTCTTTGGACAGACATCGGGCGGAGTTCACGCATGTGTTGACGTATTTGAACGGCGAAATCAGATGATTCAATTGACGTGTCGTCAGTGTTGCTGAAGAATTCGCCGGGCAATCGCAGGTGTTGGCCGTATACAAGTTCAGCTGATGTCGCGTTGAGATCCTCTTTGTATGCGTTCCGCATGCCTAAGAGTACAATCGGTAGTAAATCAGACCATTTCTCGCTATTATGACACTTGATTGATGCTTTGAGTTGACGGTGAAAACGTTCAACGAGACCATTAGCTGCCGGATGATAACTAGTTGTTCGGATCCGTTTGGTGCCCAGCAGTTGAGTGAGAGATCGAAATAAATTCGATTCAAACTGCCGGCCTTGGTCTGAAGTTATACGTAATGGTACGCCAAATCTTGATATCCAACCACTGATCAGTGTTCGGGCAACTGTTTCAGCAGTTATGTCTATCATCGGTAGTGCTTCGGGCCAACGAGTGAAACGATCAATAATCGTTAGACAATAAGTGTATCCGTTTGATGGTGGTAGTGGGCCAACGATATCAATATGTATGTGTTCAAAGCGTTGCGATGGCAGTGTATATGAGCCAATAGGTGCTGACACATGTCTGGTTATTTTTGAACGCTGACACTCGATGCAGTTGCGGACATATTGTTTACAATCCGACTCAATATTTGGCCATATGAACGCTCGTTTGACTAGTTTTGTTGTTGCTTTAGCTCCGGGATGTGACAGTGAATGCAATGATTGTATAGCAATTTGTCGGTAGTTTTTAATTATAAACGGTCGGGCAGTGCTTGTAGATAAGTCACACCATATTTTTGATGTACTGTGCGGTAGTGACACAAGTTTGAGGGATAGTGATGTCTGAGAAGCGATGATGTCGTTGAGTTCAGTGTCGACTTCTTGCTCTTTAGCTAAAGCTTCGTAATCGACTTCATGAGCGATGGTTTCTATGCGAGACATCGAATCGGCGACAACATTGTCTTTACCCGAAATGTGGCGAATATCAGTAGTGAACTGAGATATGTAGTCCAATTGACGCATTTGTCGTGGACCTGCTTTCTCCGGTTTTTGTTTGAATGCATAAGTCAGTGGCTTGTGGTCGGTGTACAGTATAAACACTCGGCCTTCGAGAAGATAGCGAAATTTCTTCACCGATTCGTATGCGGCCAATAGTTCCCTGTCATAGGCGGACCACGTAGTTTGCTTGTCTGTGAGCTTTCGAGAAAAGAAAGCAATTGGTTGCCAATCGCTGTCCACTAGTTGTTGAACGGATGCTCCGATTGCACCGTTGGATGCGTCGACCATTAGTGATAGCGTCGCGCCGGTCAATGGATGTGTTAATAGAGTGGCATTAGCGATGGCTGTCTTCAAAGACTCAAAAGCATTGATTGCTTCTTCAGTCCAATTAATGACATCATTCTTGGCTCCGGAAAGATATGTGTTCATCGGTGCCTGAATAGTTGCGGCGTTCGGTACGAATCTTCGGTAAAAGTTTGCAATACCTAAGAAACGTCTGAGTTCTTGAGTAGTCTTCGGTTGAGGAAACGTTAGAATAGATGCGACTTTTTCTGGTTGTGGACGAGTTCCTGTATGATCGACAACGTAACCGAGAAATTTGACATCAGAGGCGCCAAATACACATTTGCCGACATTGATCACTACTCCGTAATCTTTGAGTCGAGTGAATAACTGTCGTAAGTGGTCCAAGTGTTGAGTTTCGTCTTTAGATGCGATGAGTATGTCATCAATGTATGCGAAACAAAAATCGAGACCACGGATTACTTCGTCAATAAACCGTTGAAAAGTCTGTGCAGCGTTACAGAGACCGAAAGACATGTATAAGTATTCGTATAAACCGAATGGTGTCTTCACAGCTGTCTTGGGTACGTCTTCTGGTGCAATAGGTATCTGATGGTAGGCTTTAACCAAATCGATGGTTGAGAAGACGCGACAACCGGCGAGATTATGAGTGAAATCTTCGATGTGAGGCACTGGATATTTGTCGGGAATTGTACGCGCGTTGAGAGATCTGTAATCACCACAAGGTCGCCATTCATTGTCCTTCTTAGGGACCATATGAAGAGGTGAGGACCAGTTGCTTGATGATGGACGACAGATGCCTTGAGATACGAGTGACTCGAATTCACGTTTARCGTAATTGTATTTATCGCCAACCAGTCGTCGGCGGTCACTACAAACAGGCGGTCCATCAGTTGTAATGATGTGATGTACAGTGTTGTGAAGTCTAGGCTTCATTGTTGCTGACGGGCGAGTAATTACTGTATATTCTTCGAGAAGTCGATGATAAGGCGTGTCACCGGTGACTGTCCTAATAGTCGGTATGTCGACGACTTGAATGCGTCCAAGCACTTTGAGACCAGTTATACAGTCGAGTAAGCGGTTGTGTCGAAGATCAGGTGCTATCCCGAAGTGTGCGAGAAAGTCGGCACCAATTATAGGCGTTGATACGTCTGCAACAATGAACTTCCAATTAAAAGCGCGGCGAAGTCCGAGATCCAGGTTTAGATAATGTGAGCCATACGTCTTGATAGGAGTACCGTTGGCGGCAAAGAGCTGATACTCTTCTACACGCCTTCGACATAGCTTTGAGTTCGGGAATACTGAGACATCAGCACCCGTATCGATGAGAAATGATATTTTTGTGACCTTATCGGTGACAAACAGACGACGGCTTTTGTTGTGGGAATCAGTTGCCGTCGCTATTGATTCCCGTTCGCGTTTCCCTCATTGTAATTGCAGGGCTTTGTACACTTCGTTGCTTTATTGCCGAATCGATTGTGGTACCAACACTGGCCATTATCTTCGCGATTGCGACTGTTGGATCGGCCACGTCTTTGAGATCGAGATCGACTGTGATCGCGAGATCTATTGGACGACAATTGAGCTATTTGTTTGGTGAGTGCATCGATTTGTTTACGTAATGCTTCTGTTTCGGTAGATACTGCTGATACATGTGCCGATTGATACGTATCGTGTATTTCGTCGGCAATATCGGCCAGTGTGTTGAGCTGTTCTCTTGAGGCCTTTAGTATCTTCTGTGTGTCGTTTGGCAGTCGTCGCATCCATAATGTCTTCAGTGCATCATCTGTAACACTTGTGCCGGCCAATTGGCGGAGTCGTCGAAGGAGTTGAGATGGTTTACGATCTCCGAGTTCTTCGCGATCGATCAGTTGTTCCAGTCGTTTGGCATTACTTGTTGATAATCGACTGATGAGTGCGTCTTTAATTGTTTTGTATTTGTCAGTAGCCGGAGGTTCAGTAATAATATCCATCACTTCAGTTGATTGGCTGACAGTGAGCGCCGATAAAACGCTTCCGTACTTTACGGCATCGCTAGAGATACGATTGGCAGCGAACTGGCCCTCCAGAAGTCCGAACCATAGCGCAGGATTCGAATCATAGAACGGCGGAGGCCTTACGGCCACTGAGTCCACATTTGTTGTTGTAGTTGTATTTTCGGTGTCTGGCATTGTTTGCGACAACAGGCGATGACAATAATTTTGTTGACTTTTGTTGAGTCGATTACGGCGGCAGAAGCGATGATAAGGTGATGGTATCGGCGATAGGACGACAAATAGATGAAAAACACGTTTATTGTAATCAATAGGTCATCGGCGGTGAAAATCACTGGTTCGGGTCACCAATATAGCGGTTGGGGTCGCTATTATGCTTTGCGTGTGTTGACCGATGATAGCGATTACAAGAGATGACAATCGATGGACACAAGAGTTAATTAAATAAACAATTTATTGATTGATCATAAAAACAGTGTACAGTATTATTGAGTTAAGAAAAAGAATGAAAGTGTTGGGCGGATAGGGATATGAATACAACAATAGATAGTCAGGTGAGAGAGAGAGAGAGAGATAATAATTACGTTCCCCAAATATATATATATATATATTTAGTATTGATTTGATTTAGTTTTTTGTTGTTGAAAATTACAGATGTTTTTAATTTTATTTTTTTTGAGATTTTTATTTTTACTTTTCTAGCAATAATATACTGTATATATAATAATATATTTAATATAAATAATTATTATTATTATTATTTTGTTTTCTGGACACATATTTTGTTTTGTTTTATTTATTTAAAACTAATTATTTTATAAATAATTAAAAATAATATATATATATATATAATTTGTTAAAAATTAATAGATATAGTAATCGACTAAAAATATTTGAGTTAACAATAATAAAAAAAATTAAACAACAATAACAACACACATATATTTTCAAATATAATATATATATATATATATATATTCAGTATATTAATAATTATTTATTTGCTATATTCATTATATATATATATATATATATAATCACCTTTATATTAATAATAATAATAATAATAATAATAATAAATTATACAAACAAACAACAAATAAAGTATTTATTAATTAAAACTAAATTTTAACTAAAATACTAAATATACAGTTACTGTATATAAGATAATGTATATATCAATTGAATATCAATAACAACACTAATAATAATAATAATAATAATATTATTATTAGTATTATTTGGACGGAGCAGTGGCCGGATCGGGATCATCACCTCCGGGGGTGGTCGCCGACGGTTTTTTGGTTGTCCCCTTTCCGCCCGGTTTTTTGCCGTCCTTTTTCTTTTCTTGTTTGTCTTTATGTTTGTTTTTATCGTGTTTTTTCTTGTCGTCCTTTTTTGATTTATTATCCGCTTTTCCTTTCTTACCGTCCTTTCCTTTTCCCTTACCTTCCGACGGTTTGGCCGCTTTCAGTACGACATCACCGGCTTCTGTAGTCGTAGTGGTAGTAGTGGTGGTCGTATCGTCATCTGGTTTGGCCTCTTTGAGTACGACATCACTGCCGCCTTCAGTACTAGCAGTTGGTGTTGTAGTTTCCGATTCGTCCTAAATGTTTGTCCAAAAAAAAAACAATAAATATTACAGTATATTGCGCTTATGGTGTGGGGGAGGGGGGTTTGGTTTTGGTGGTGTTTAACAAAAACTAAAAACAATCACTACATTTGCCTCTACACATGTCACACATACACATACTTAACATACATACCATAGACACACATACATATATACATACACACACACACACATACACTCATACATACACACATATACATACACATAAACACACACACATACATACATACATACATACATACATACATACATACATACATACATACATACATACATACATACATACATACATACATACATACATACATACATACATACATACATACATACATACATACATACATACATACATACATACATACATACATACATACATACATACATACATACATACATACATACATACATACATACATACATACATACATACATACATACATACATACATACATACATACATACATACATACATACATACATACATACATACATACATACATACATACATACATACATAAACACATACACATACACACACACACACATACACACACACACACACACATACATACATACACATACATACACACACATATATACACAAACACACACACATACTTACATACATACATACATACATACATACACACAGATACACACACACATAAACACACACATACACACATAGACATACATACACACATAGACATACATACACACACATACATACATCAGTTTTGACCATGGTCATCATAATAACAATGCCGATGATAGCTACCAGTGCTATCGACATTTTAGTGGTCGCCATAATTTTTGTTGATTTTTTATTAATAGTTTCTCCTTATAATGATATATACAGTGTATATATATATAAATTTATATCTATAAAGTACAGTACAATCAATATTATCAAAGATATAATACTTTATAGAAACTATTGATGAAAAAATGAATAATTTTTTTTTTATAAGTAATAAATTTAATAAATTTGAAAAAATTACAGATGTTTTCAACTTTTTATTTTTTTTTTGGTGATTTTATATATTTTATATATAATAATTAATTAATTTTATATATTTGCTAATAAATATAGGGTTATATATATATATATATATATATATATATATATACTGTATTAATATAGTGTTTTTTATGTACTAAAAATGTAAAAATATTCCCGCCCTTAGTATTTTATATACAGTATATATATTTATATTTGTTGTAAAATTTTCCTAATACTGTATATAATACTAATTTATAGATACAGTTAATAATAATAAGTAATTAACCATAAATTTCTAGTATAAAAATCCAAATATTAATAGTTTTTTTTTTTTTAAATAGTTATAGTTTTTGTCCCACAAAATATTTGTGTAAATATTTGACAACAACAACAACAAAATTAATTAATTAATAATTTTGGACATTTTATTTTGTGTATACAGTATAAATTTTTTCTACTTATTTTATATTATTTTAATAAATAGTAAATATAAATTATAATTGTAGATTATAATTAATTGATTTATTATTATTATTATTATTATTTTAGTCAATAATTGTAATCTAATTAATGTATAAATTATTGTTTATTTTTAATAAAATATAATAATAATAATAGTAATAATTTATTTAATATTTAATTTTAATTTATATTCATATATCTTCTTCTAATAATAATAATAATTGTTATAAAAAAAAATTTTTATAGAAAATTATTTTTTATGTTTTTTGTTTGTTTATACAATAATATTTTTTTGCAGACAAAAAATTATAAAAAAAAAATATTTTTAATTAAATTATTTGTTTTTTTTTGTTTAATTGATTATCAACAGTAGTAGTAGTAATAATAATAATAATATTATTATTATTATTATTATTATTATTATTAATGGTATTATTTAGACGGAGCAGTGGCCGGATCGGGATCATCGCTATCGGGAGTGGTAGTGGTGGTCACCTTTGGCGTTGTCGCCGATTTTTTGGTGGTCGTCGACGTCGACGACGACGACGACGACGACGACGACTTTCCACCGGATTTTTTCGGATCAGCTTTCTTTGAGTCGTCCTTTTTGTTATCAGTTTTTTTCTTGTCGTCCTTTTTGTCCGCTTTTTTCTTGTCGTCCTTTTTGTCCGCTTTTTTCTTGTCGTTGTTGTCGTCAGGTTTGGACTCTTTTAGTACGACATCTTTGTCATCATCTTTGGCGCCGACCTTATCCTTCAACAATGATTTTAACAAACAATTTAACGATTTATTTACTCTCTCTCTCTCTCTCTCTCTCTCTATCTATCTATCTATCTATCTCTCTCTCTCTCTCTATGTTTATGTGTGTGTGTGGGATAGTGTTATATAATAACAAAATCATATACACACATACATACATAAGTACATACACACAATAATATATATAACTTATATATATACTCACACACACATACATACACTAATAAATACACTAATAAATACACACATACATACACACATACATACACTAATACACACACACACATATACTTACACACACACATACACACACATACACACACATACACACACATACTCACACATACACACACATACACACACATACTCACATATACACACACATACACACACATACTCACACATACACACACATACACACACATACTCACACATACACACACATACACACACATACACACACATACACACACATACACACACATACACACACATACACACACATACACACACATACTCACACATACACACACATACACACACATACTCACACATACACACACATACACACACATACTCACACATAAACACACATACACACACATACACACACATACTCACACATACACACACATACACACACATACTCACACATACACACACATACACACACATACTCACACATAAACACACATACACACACATACACACACATACACACACATACACACACATACACACATATACTCACACATACACCTACCTTTTTATCGCCGGTCTTAGTGGCCAGTGCATTGGGCCTGGCCTTACTGCCGGCAGTTTTATTACCGCTGTCATCGTACATACCGCCCAGTTTGACCAGAAACCCGCCAAACGGTTCGGGACCGCCTCTGGCTTTCAGTTCTTCTTTGGCCTTATTTTCGCCATCTTTTACCGCACTTTCCAATTCTTTCCTGTTTTTCAGTTTATCTTTGACTGCACCGGTCTTTCCCGACGCCGCCGGACTAGTAGTGGTCACACCAGCAGATGCTGGTGGCGGCGGCGGAGCCGACTTCAGCGGTTTGTCCTCCAAGTCGTCCATCGATGCTTTCAACGGCTTATCCTCATCGTCACCACCACCACCACCACCACCGGGTGTCGTAGTCCTGGCCGTTGTGGTAGTACTGGCGCCTTGTTGTCGGCCGTCATCGTCGTTGTCAACAATTTCGCCGACCGCCGGTCGCGGCACCTCCTTGTAGATGGAGTCGAGAAAATTTTCGGCACCTACTAGTAGGGGCCCCGATTGTGATTGTATGGCTATCAATAGGATTGGCAGCAATGATAGCACAGGTAGATAGTTGATAGGATATACCATTTTTATTATTATTATTATTATTATATGTATGTATGTATGATGTTGTGATTATAATTACTATTTATAAACTATCTGTTAGTTATATAGTTATATAGTAGTAATATCTGTGATAATAATAATTTTTTTTAAAAAATAATAGTTATTTTATTTTTATTAAATAATATTATCAATAAAATAAACAATAGATTGTTTTATTGTTAATTAATTTTATTGTTTTTTTATTATACTTACATTTTGATGATATATTTTTATATAAAGATTTACTGTATATATATATAGTACTATTTTTTACAACAACAAAAAAAACAATTAAATTTAATTTAATTAATCGATTTTAATGTTTATATATTTATTATTATTTTTTATATATATATATATATAAATAAAATGTCTACTTTTTTTCTTACTTATAATATTGTTGATAAAACTATTTAATACCATTGAAAAAATAAAATAAAAATATGGCGTAATTGTAATTTAATATACAATTTTTTCAAAAAAAAAATATATATATATATATGTAATTTATATATATTTAATTTTTTAAAAAGATTTTACTATTATTTTAAATTGATAATTACAATTTATAACTTATTATACTAATTGTCTATGATAAAAAATATTTAATTAATTATTTATTAGATAATAAACAAAACAAAAAAAAACATAATAATTTAAAAATAAATTATATTTATTTTCACACAAAAAAACATAAAATTATTAGAAATATACAGTAATAATAACAAAACAAATAATAATATTAATAACATAAAACTTATTACAATTAATTTATATAAAAACAACTGTTTATAACATTATTATCATTTTAAACATATAATTTTATATTATCATTATTATTATTATTATTACTTTTAATCATTATCATCATCAATAAGCACCTACATGTCAATCCTACTCCCACCCCATCCATCATAAACCCCCCAAACAATTATTATTACTATTACTAATAATTATGTTTTGCTGCCTCCAAATCATCCGGATTGGTGTCATCATCGCCACCACTACCACCACCAGCACCGGTATCTGAATCCCTATTTGACTTACGTTTCCTTTTTCTCCTCCTCCTGCTACCGTTGCCGCCATCATCATCACCGCCACCACCATCATCATCAAACTATATGAGGGGAATGGGGAGGGGTAAGGGGAGGGGGGTAAAAATAAATTTTTAATATATAATTATTGTATATTATTTTTGAAATACAGTTGAAATTAATTGAATATTATAATATTGCTTATCTAACTATGATTTAAGTAACCACTCTCACTTACTCACCCACTGCATACTAACTAACCCACTATATTGTATGGACAGTATATTTGTTTTTTAATAGATTTTGTTTTTTAGACACACCCGCCCATACCTACATCCATATTAGGATCCTTATCCTACATCCAGAGAGAGAGAGAGAGAGAGAGAGCTATAGAGAGTGTTAAAGAGAGAGTTAAAGAGAGAGACAGAGAGACAGAGAGAGACAGAGAGAGACAGAGAGAGACAGAGAGAGACAGAGAGAGACAGAGAGAGACAGAGAGAGACAGAGAGAGACAGAGAGAGACAGAGAGAGACAGAGAGAGACAGAGAGACAGAGAGAGACAGAGAGAGACAGAGAGAGACAGAGAGAGACAGAGAGAGACAGAGAGAGACAGAGAGAGACAGAGAGAGACAGAGAGAGACAGAGAGAGACAGAGAGAGACAGAGAGAGACAGAGAGAAACAGAGAGAGACAGAGAGAGAGAGATAGACAGACAGAGAGAGAGAGAGAGAGAGAGAGAGAGAGAGAAAGAGAGAGTGATAGATAGAGAGTGACAAAAACACGTACACTACTGGCGTAACTATTAACGCGCCTCTTCTGGCCACTGTGTTGGCCAGAGCCGTCGTCCAGTACGCCTATATCGGGCAAATAGAAACCTTCGTACGGATCGGGACCACCTATTTCTTCCAGTTCCCTATTCGCCTGATGTTCGCCCTGTTTGACCGCCTTTTCATAGCTGGCCGCCATTTTGGCTTTTTCGGCTGCCCTAGCCTGCGGTGACTGGCCGTTATCGGCCGACCCGTAGTTACTGGCGCCGCCGGCATCTGAGCCCTGATTGCTGTACGACTCGGCTGGTGGAGGACCGTTGTCGTCAAATAACGGCTCGTTGTGGTCGTAGTGATGGTGTGGTCCCAGGTCTCGGTACATATCGGCGTAACCGCGTCGGTGCATACGTTCGGCCATATCGTAGTCATCTCTATCATGACCACCACCGCCACCGCCGCCGTGATGGTGACGGCGTCTATGACTACCACCACCACCACCTCCGCCGCCGCCGCCGGGCCTATAATGTATTGGTCCGCCGCCTCCGCCGCCGCCTCTGCCGTCACCTAAGCTCACGGCTAGTATGGGTTCTTCATAGGGAAAGTTGTTATTACCGCCACCTCCGCCCCAACTGCTGGACAGTCGGTCATTGTGTGGCCGATGATAGTCATCCATAAACTCATGTGATGGCGGTGGCGGTGGTGGTGGTAGTGGTGGTCGTCGTCGTGATCTACCACCTGAGCCCATATCCATACCACCCCCACTCTCTTCCATGTACTCTGAATAGCCATAGACTTGTAGTACGGGTACTGACCATATGACTACTACTACTACTACTAGTAGTAGTAGTTTAGTGGACAGGTATGTCATTATGTTTTTTTTGTTGGTATAATACTATTAGATTTATTATTTATTTATTAATTTTCTATATATTATATAAAACAAACACACATTTTACTGATATAATAATAATAATAAAATTAATTATAATAATTACTTTATATTTATTTTATATTATTATTGTACTAATTATACGACATTTTATTTTATAATTTAATTAATAATTTATTAATTAAAACTATTAACTAAAATGGGTGCACTATTAAAATAATTTTCTAGAATATTATTATTTATTTATTTATTTTAATTAAAAATAATAAATAAATAATGTTTTTATAAATATGAAAAAATAAAATAATAAATTTTAAAATACTAATAATTTATTCAATATTCAAAAATATTTTATCTAATTATCACTAATTGATAAGTAATTAAATCAATTAAAAAATAATGATTAACTTTATTTATATAATAATAATAATTTGAATATAATTTTTTTTACTTCAATTAATAAAATTGATTATAGCTTCCTATTTAAAAAAAATAAATTAAACATTTAAATTAAATAAAGAAAAAAGTTTTTTTTAAATATAAATTTGCAAAAAAATAATTTTTTATTGAAAATAAATTTTTAGATTTAACATAATTGATTAAATTAAAAAATAAGATTAATTAATTAAATTGATTATACATAATAATTAAAATTTTGAAATTATTATATGAATAAAAATTGACCATGGTTATCAATAGTTTCTATAAGTAGAAAAAATGCAAACAAACAAACAAAAAATAAATAAATAATTATAATGTAAACTAAAAAAAAAAACAGAATATTTAAAATATTAAAAAAATATTTATTATTTTTTGTGTATATTTAATAATATAATATACAACACAACACAATAAAATAATTAAAATAATTGTTAAGTTAATTATTGTAATTATTTAAAAAATAAATAAATTTATTTATTGAAACTTACCATTATCATTTTAATAATTTTTGTTTGTTTGCTTGGTTGGTTAGATATTTTATTTGCAACAATCGCATGAACAGCTGCCACCCTTACAGCCACACTGGTCGCACCCACCACATTGGTTAACCATAACTACCGGAGCCACCATTGCTATTAGATATTTTTGTTGATAGGGTTAGGTTATACAAACAAAAAAAAACAAAAAACAATTTGAAAAATTATTTTTTTTAAATATTAATTTTTATTTAGTTAGTTAAATAACTATTGAAATATTTTTTTGACTTATATTTTTCCAATCGCGCCTAACGTTTTTAAACTATAGTATTTAGGTGTCGGGTGCACACACCAAAAAATAAAATTGTAGGTAGGTGCCGTGTGCTATTATTAATAAGGTGCCGGGTGAAAATTAAAATTGCATGTTTTATGTGCAATCAATTAGCCAAACAATTAGATTAGATTAGTATATAATTTAATAACAAATAATAAGAGTCGCCAAAAAAAATATTTTACATTAATGTAATAAATAATATTTAAAAAAAAATAATAAATGTATAATTTTTTTTGTTAGTCAAAAAATTTAAAAAAATAAGCTAGCTAAAAAAATTAGTTTATTTAGCATATATATTTTCAAAAAAAATAAATTATTGTATTTTTTGATTAACTATTTAACAAATATTAGATTTTATTTAAATATAATTTATGTGTTTTTTTTATATATAAACAACAATTTGGTGACTCTTATTATTAATTGATTTAAATTTCATAAGTATCTAATCTAAAGTTATACATAATTAAAAAAAAATACTTGTACACTTTACAATTTTCACCCGGCACCTTATTATTAATAGCACACGGCACCTACCTACAATTTTTTTGTATGCACCCGACACCTAAATACTATAGTTTAAAAACGATAGGCGCGATTGGAAAAAAGTATAATTCAAATAATATTTAATTAGTTATTTATAACTAAATAAAAATTAATATTTAAAAAAAAATAATTTTTTAAATTGTTTAGTTTTTGTTAGTATAACCTAACCCTATCAACAAAAAATATCTAATAGCAATGGTAGCTCCGGTAGTTATGGTTAACCAATGTGGTGGGTGCGACCAGTGTGGCTGTAAGGGTGGCAGCTGTTCATGCGATTGTTGCAAATAAAATATCTAACCAACCAAGCAAACAAACAAAAATTATTAAAATGATAATGGTAAGTTTCAATAAATTAATAATTAATTTTTTTTATAAAAAAAATAATTACAATAATTAATTGTTTATTATAATTATTGTCGTTTTATTAGTTTAATTATTAAATACTAATAATAATATATAATTATTTTTTAATAATAATAATAGTTTATAAGTTTATTTGTATTAAATATAATTAATTAAATAAATTTAATTTTATGTTTGATTTATTGATTTATATTTTTTTCAACTTATAGACAATTTTTTAACCATGGTTAATTTCACCTATAAATTCAAAATTTTATAATTATATATATTTTTCGAAAAATTTTTGTTTTTCTTTAAATCAATTATTTTAACAAAAAAAATGTATTTTTGAATAATATACTAAATAATAAATAACTTTTTTTTTGCAAATTTTTAAGTTATTTATTTATTTTTTAATAATTTAATTTGTTTTGATTTTCAATAATGGTAAATAAATAATAATTATAATAATAATAATCAATTTTATTTAGTCAACTTTGTCAAAATAAAAAACATTTATTAATTATTAAAATTGTAAAAAATTAAATCTTATCAAAAAAAATAATTAATTAATTAATTCTATAAAAAAAATAGTTTTTAAAAATAAATAATTTATGCTATTTTATATAATATATTAATATATATATATATATATATTTATTATTTACTGTACAATAATTAGATTTGATTTTTAATTTATTAGTATATTAAATAAATATCAATCAAAATCAATCAAAAAAAAAAAATCATACAAATGGCGACCAAAAATACCGTTCCTCACTCATGGTCTCACTGTCACTGGACATGGGATCCGAGGACATCGGATCGGTATTACTACCGCCGGCGCCGCCATTGGCCGTCAATATCCTCCAAAATAGTTTAGGTGTCGATGAACTACCACTACCTACAGTAGTAGTTATAGTAGTAGTAGTGGTGGTAACGGTACCACCAGATTTAGGACTGGCAGCCAATGATATGGATGATGATGATGATGATGATGATGGAGATGCTGATAATGATCCACTATTACTACTACTACTAGATGATGATTTGCTAGCTAACTGTCCACCACTACTACTACCACCCCCACCACCAACACCGCCGCCCACTACTTGCCAAAACAGTTTGGCTATACGATGGGGATGTAGTGCCGATAGTGGACCGCCCGTACTGGCAGCTGGTTGCTGATGAGTACAGTTACCCGATTGTAGGGCCAATTGTTTGGGTACCGAGTTTTCCAGTTTGCTACCGAACCCACAGTATGATGAGCTACGGGTTTTTATATAACATATAAATAATTTTTTTTTTAATAATATTAATAATAATAATAATTAATTTAAAAATAATAGTCTACTAATTAAACTTAAATACAGTATGAAAAATATATTTATCATATATTTTTTCTAAAAAAATTATAAAATAACTAAATAAACTAAAATAAACTAAAAAAAAATTTTTAAAAATACTAATAATATTTAAATATAAATTCAATTAACTATATAATCAACTCCTAAAATAATAATAATAATAATATAAAATATATATTTCTATTATAATTATAAAATAACTAAATAAATAAATTTATATATAATTTATTTATTTTTTTTTTGAATTAAATTCAATTATTTTAATCATAAACTATTAATTAGTATCAAATCAAATAAATAAATTATTATTTACCCCCTAATTCCTAACCAACCCCCCAAATACCCCCTAAAAACATAACAAACTGATAACTATCCTACACTACCTGTCCATTTAAAAATATATATTTAACACCTAAAACACCTAATAATACATACATGTGTTCACCCCCCCCCCCTAAAAAACACAACTAACCTATAGCAAACTGATAGCTACCCCTACACTACCTGTCCATTTAAAAATATACAGTACTTAACACCTATACTACTACTACTACTGTACATACATGTGTCCATCGCTGTTAATCAATTCAATTTTGTCGACCATCCAGTTATCTTTGCCACTGTATATCCAGCCCTTATACTTTGTATAGGTTAGTACAACATTGGTAACATTGTGTATGTTAGGATGGGCTACAACCAGACCCTGGATAAACCCGGTATCTTTGATTTCGTCGGCTTCGTTGGTCAACATAAACGTTTCGTTGTTACCGTCTTTGGCCATAAACTGTATTTCCAGTTTACCCCATGTGCTCACCTGACCGGTGCCGCTGATCACACGTATTTTGAACTGATTGGCTGTATATGTGTGTGTGTATAGTAAGGACAGTTAGCATAAGTTATACATTATATAATTTACACATAGAGTACATACAGTATATACTCATACAGTACATACAGTATATACACATACAGTACATACACACATACAGTACATACACACATACAGTACATACAGACATACAGTACATACACACATACAGTACATACACACATACAGTACATACACACATACAGTACATACACGCATACAGTACATACACACATACAGTACATACACGCATACAGCACCTACACATACACAGTGGACACTTACCGCAAAACGGTTCATTTTCGCGTGTAACCAAATACATGTTGCCCCTACCCGAGGACTGGTGGGCAAAATAGCCCATATTTGAGCACTGTATACCATCCTTACCGCACTGGAAACAGTCGCCCCTCAGATAATTTTCATAACTATCGCAAGCAAATGCCCGAAACTGACATGTTTTGATAATAGAGTCGATAAAGAACCGGAAGGCTCGGCGATGATTGCATAGGCTGTTCCATTTGCCGTAGATTATGTCGGACAGGGCGCCCATAAATACCGAATTACAGCCGACCTGGACTCGGCCACCATTAGGATAGAAGTCGACATGACCTAACGGTGCAAACGAGCCGAGACCACCCCTGAGAAAACTGTCGCCATTAGAGTGTATGACGTCGACAAATGTGGCGTCGGTCGGGTCCAGTCGGACACGAGGCGGGTATCCTTTAAATTAATTTTTAAAAAACATTTATATTTATTATTATTATTTATTTGTATGTGTGATGTGTATGTATGTATGTAAGTGTGTGTGTATATGTTTGTGTGTGTGTATGTGTGTGTGTGTGTATTATTGTATTTATTTAATATCTTTACATATAACTTAACATTTTTAAACAATTGATTGATTAATTATTATATATCTATTAGTACATATATAACTTTATAAATTAATTTATTAAATAAAATAGACAATATATTTTTAAAAAAATAAATTTATATATATGATATTTATATATTATTTTTAAGCGTATTTAAAAAATAAATTTAAAAATATTTAATGACTGTATATATAAATATAAATAAAAAAAATACATGTATATATCTGTAAATATCTATTTTAAAATCATATATATTATTACTGTATTTAAAATATTTAAATTTTTAATATGATTTTGTTTTGTTTTATTTGTGTGTGTGTGTGTGTGTGTGTTTGGCATCGATATATATATATACCTTCAAATAACGGTGCGGCCGGATCCAGGCCCGTAATACGGCTAATATTGCTGATTTCCATACCGGTAAACCCGGCTACGTGTGCGCCCAATGAAAACCCAATCAGATGATAGTCCTCGGGTTTGCAACCCTTATTAAAGTTAATCATACGTATCAACAGTGCTATCTGTTTGCCGATTAGCTGTGTATTAGCTGCTGCCTGTAATATACCAGTTGATCACCCGATCCGATCCGATACAAACCAAACCAACCGATAAAATAAATAAATTTTAATTAATAAAAATATATATATTTAATTATTTTTTTAAATTATTTACAAAAATAAATATTGATTGACCTACCTGTACATAATTGGGTAACTGTGCACCGTTTTCCCAGTCGACTACAATTAAATTGAAATCATCCTATTAGATGGGGAGGGGAGAGGAACAGGAGGGAAAAGAGAGGAAATAAATTTTATTGTTTTTTAATTAATTAATTAAATAAATAATTGAATTAAATTAAATTAAATAATAATTATTATTATTATTAGCTTTTATTAAATTAATTAAAATTCAATGATAATTATCTAATTGATTTACAGTATAATAATATATATATAACAAACTGTAATAATATATATATATATACAGTATATTGTATATTAGATGTAAATAAATAATAATTTTTTTATATATATTTACAGTATTACAAGTTTAGTATATCAATTAGGAAAAAAAAAATATTTTTTTAGTATTTTTTAAAAAAAATTTCAATTAAATTAATAAGTTATCGTAAAATATGTATAAATTTTTTTTAAGATAAAATTTTATACACTTTAGTATCACACATACACACACACTTATAAACACACATACATCACACATACATAAACACACACACACACACACACACACTTACAAACACATACTCACACACACACATTTACATACACACATACACACACACACACACATACATACACACATACATAAACACATATACACTTACAAACACACACACACACACATTTACATACACACACTTACAAACACACACACTTACAAACACACACACTTACAAACACACATACACATACATATATATTTATACATACATACAAACACACATACACACACACATACACACATATATACAACACATATACACACTCACTCACACACACACACACCTGTCATATAAACACAATGTTAATCAAACCAAATCAATCAATACATACCATAAACAGAAACGCTTCGGTCATCTGTAAAACCCACGGCCGGCGACCACTCGACCCGAACCCGTGAATAATAATCTTAATCGGATTGCTTGCGTTGAAACTGGATTTCGCCAGTGATGTACTGTTTTCGTAGTCCAACCGCTCGCCATCTACGGCCGTCTTACGGGTATACAGTGTAAACGTTGTGGCAATTGTTTCGGGACTGGCCGGCAGTGTATCCAAATAATCAAACGGTCCCTCATCGCGAAAACAGCCAAAATTTTTATAGCATACCATCTCTTCGTCCCGTCGGCGGCGCCGATGACGTCTCAGCGACCGATTGGTACGATTGGTTGGTTTATTAGCCGAGGCTGCGGAGGCCGCGGCCATAGCCGCGGCTGCCGATGACGACTCTTCCGTACGTTTCCGATGACGGGCTTTCTTGCTGTCACTCCATTTGGCCAGTGATGTAGCTATTGTTGACCAAACCTATTGTTTAGAAACACAGGCACAGGTATGTCAGTCAAGTATATATACTGTATATATATTATGTATAATAATAATAATAATAATTACCAAAAAATCGCTGACATCTAAATCATAATCCCTTTCCAATTGTTTTTTATTATTATCAGTATTACTACTACTACTACCTGTGCTACTAATACTACTACTACTACTCATGATATCGTATATATCATTATTATCATTATTATTTAGCACGTGTTTTTGCGCGTGTTTTTTGTTGTTGTTGTTGCTATTTGTTGTTGACTGTTGCGCGTGTGCTTGATTAAAAATTATTGCTGTTTGTTAATAAAAAAAAATTGTAAATTATAATTGTAATTTTTATTTAAAAAAAATCTATATATATATATAATTAATTTAATTAATTAAAATTATTTTTATATAACAATGATTAGTTATAATAGTTTTTTTTACTATAAATATATAGTAATAATTATAATAATAATAATAATAATTGCAATTTACAGGTGATTAACTGTCAATATATTTTTTGTTGTTGTTGTTGATTATATTGTAGATACCTGTATATATTGAATATACTGTATATTATTTTATTTTTATTTTTTTATTTTTTTGAGATACCGGTAAATATAATATAATTTTTTTTTTAATTGAATGAGTGCTAACTCATGGGAAACCCCTTATATTAATAAAAAATTGTTAGATTATAGACAACTGTCTCATATATATATATATACACTATATATACGGTATACTACTAATGGATTTGATATTATTATATGATTTATACAAACAATCAAAATATATATATTAAATAAATTGTGCGGAAGTATGGCTTTTAGTATTAATTTTTTTTTCTTTATTATTATTATTATTATTGTTATTATTATAATTAAATAAATTATTTGTTATGTGTTTGTGTGTCTGATGACCGAAAAATAAAAGGTTAGACTATTTAGACTTTTTTGTTTGATTTTTTTTTTTGTGTATTAAATTTGATTTTTTTTGTATAAATAATAATAATAATAATAATATAATTATTTGTTAAGATCTCAGACAACATAAATCAAAAATCATGTTTTTTTTGTATTTAATTTTTTTTGTATATACTCTATATTTTTAAATAATAAAATAACAGTATTTAACAAATTGTTATTATTAATGATTTATATAATTAAAACCAATTTTTTTAATTCCTAAATTTAGCTTAAAATAATAATAATAATAGTGAAAACATATTTTAAAAATTATGTTTATATTTATTTTAAAAAAATAATATATATATATATCAATGTCATTACAAAATTTATTATTATTAGTAATATTAATATTACTATATAATTATATTGATAGTGAATGTTATGTATTTATTTATATATATTGTTGTATTATATATATAATTATATTATATATAAACTATATTTTGTAACCTAAATAATAATAAAAATAATAACAGTAAAATTTATACAAACAAATAACTAAACAAAAAAATTTTAAATATAGTTTTCACACACAAAATATTAATCGCAAAAATTATATAATTTTTTTATAGTTAAGAAAATCAAAAGTCTATTAATATTAATATATATATAATAATAATAATAATTTTTTTCCAGTATATTATTATTATTATTTATTTATTTATTATTAATAGGTATATACTGTATATTTACTACATGTGTTGCACACATACTGTATACAAGTCCTCTCTCTCTCTCTCTCTCTCTCTCTCTTATAACTAATATATCCTAATATCTAATAATATTGTTGCATAACTGGAGCTTAAAATTTTTGTTATTGTTGTTTAAAAAAGTTTTAAAATAACTTATCTTAACTTATATATATCATATATATACAGTATATATATATACAGTATATACAGTACTATAATATAACTTAATTTATAATAATAGTAATAATAATAAAATAAATGGTAAAGTAAAAGTGATAATTGAAAATAATGTGTTTTTAATAACAATAATAATAATATAGTTTAATATACTGTATATATGTAATGATATTTTAATTGAATAGTTAAAATTATTACACACACACAAAACAACTTTCAATGACATTATAAAAATAAAAAATATTAATAGTATATAATTTATTTATTGCTATATTATTATTATTATTATTATTATTAAATTTATAATAATATATATTTATAAAGAGAGAAATAAAAGTGTATGTTATATATCTATATTTAATTATATAAATATAACAAATTTATATATATTTATATACCTGTATATATATAGCAAATAAAATAATTTATATCATCAGAGAGTGAGAGAGAGAGAGAGAGAGAGAGAGAGAGAGAGAGAGAGAGAGAGAGAGAGAGAGAGAGTTAAAACTAAATTATTTTACTCTCAAAAAAATAATATTAAATTTAGGTTATTGTGTCCCTAAACTCACTTTTTAATAGTAATTTTTATTTATTTTTTTAAAAATATTTATTTATATATATATAGTTTAAGGATTGCATATTTTAATGTAATAATAATAATATATTTTTAAAATATAGTATAGATTTTTATTTTTTTTTTAAAGTACTTTAAATAATAATAACTATATATTAAATATAATAAACACTTGACATCTCTTTTATTATTATTTTTATTATTATTATTACTGTATTTTTCTACAGTCAATGAAAACAAATAGATATTTATTAATACATTTATATAACTATATTATTATTATTGTATTATTACTGTATTTTTCTGTTATTATTTAATAAGTATTTATAAATAATTTATTTTTTTTTGCTTTTTTTTGTTTGAAAAAAATATTACTCTTATATGTTATGTTTGTTATGTTATGTGTTTTCCCAATGATTTTACTATTTTATTATTATTATTATTATTTGTTTCTTACAGTGCATTGAACTTTAAGTTTTTTAAGAGATATTTACCGAAATATATATATATATATATAAAATCTTTTATTATTTCAATAATAATATAATCGTAATAATAATAATAATACAATGACTTTTCAATAACATATATTTTATAATATCATTAGTATTATTATTATTATTATTATTATTGTATTATATTATATAATATATATTTTTTATTATTGATATTCTGATTGTAATAATTGTAAATAAATTTTTATTTTTAATTTAAAATATTAATAATAAAAATAATAAAAACAAAACTATATGTTTAAAATATTATTATTTTTTTTAAATAATTAAAATTAATGTAAATATTTCGTTATTATTATTATTATTATTATTATTATTATTTTACGAAAACAATTGTTACGGATTTAAACTTATTATTATTATATATATATTGTTTTATTTTATTTTTAAAATTTTTTTATCATAATTATAATTATCATATATTTTAGATATTAATTTATTAGCGTATATCCTGTTTATAAAAAATTATATATATTTATATATAAACTAATGATAATTATTATAGAAATTTAAAATAATTAACTCATTATTTCATTGAGAGAAAAAAAATAAATTTTATTTTAGTTATAATTATATTTGATATAATATATCATTTTTTTCAATCTATATATATATATATATATATCTTATAGATATTAAATGACATACAAATAAATGATTTATTTTATTTTGATAAAAAATAAATTATCTAGGAATTTGATTTTTGAACTAGACACTTTTTTTATGTTTATCTATTTATTTATTTATTTAATTAATTAATAGATTTACTAATTTTGTGTGTGTGTGTGTGAACTATTAAACTTTATACTGTATTTAGTAGACCACTAAAAAATACATATATATATATATATATATATATATATATATATTTTATCTAATTTGAAGTTATAATAAAAATTTATAATAATTTATTTAACTATAATTTATTAATCAAACTTACAAAAAAAAATTTAATTAAATAATAAATATAATTATTGTAATGCATATAAAATTTTATCAATCAATCAATTTATACACTTTATAAATATTTTAATTAATTGCAAAAATGAAAATTTTTACTAAATTTAAATAAATAATTAATAAATAAAATGCTTACCTATTATTATTAATAATAATAATAAATAAATAAATAGATGATTATAATACATGATTATATGGACATATATTTTACAATAATAAATAATTGATGATATTGATGATGATGATAATAATAATAATGATAATTAATCCAAAATAATAATTATGATGATGATGATAAAAAAAATAAAATTATGTAAAAATAACAAAATTAAAACAAATAGTTACAAAAAAAAATAATAATCAAAAAAAAAATCACAGATATATATATAGCGATTGTGTTTATTGTTGTTAAAAATAATAACTATTTTTTAAAAAAAAATAATATATAATTTAACAATAATAGCAATAATAATAATAAAAAGTTACTTTTTATTTTTACTATTTTTGTTTTCACCACAAACTTGAAATAATAAATAATTTTTTTTAAATGAAAAATTGAAGTTTATATGTGTATATAAAAACTGTTTGTATTTATATTTATTATTATTATTATTATATGTATTTTTAGCACATATTTTCAGTATTAATCTAATAAAACAAATTTATTTTTATTATTTAATTTATTATTATTTTTTTCAAATTTCCTATTATTATGTGTTGTTGAGTGTTGACTCAAAAAAAAAATATTTATATATATTTAAAAATACTATAATAAAATCAAAATCAAAATATTTTTATTAAAATAACAACAAAACATAACAAACAAACATAAAATTAGTTCATTTGATACACTATTTTATTAATTTATTAATTAATTAATTAAATGCTATAAAACATTGTAATAATAATAATAACAATAATAGCATTTTAATGTCACTATTAAATTATTTAATAGAAAAATCATTTTCATTATTAAAAATATTGTTTTTTATTTTTAATAAAAATTTATTAACACTTGTCACATAAACTATTTTTTTTGAAACTATTTTATTTAAAAAAAAATTTTTATTTGTAAATTAAAATCACATCAAATCTATAGCACATTATTATATCAATAGTATCATATGATAATAAAAAATTATATTAAATATATTTATCAACAAAAATTTTTAAAAAATTTTTTTATTAAATATATATCACATGATTTAAATTGTACTCAAATTGTTGGCAAAACTTTTTATTTATTTATTTTTTTGTTGAATTTACTATTTTATTAAATTTATTTAATATTTTAGTAATATTTATTAGTTGTGAATATTATAAATGTAAAAATTATTTTCTGAAAAAAATATTTACATAAATTAAATAAATTAATTTTTTTCAACAACAAAATTAAAATATAGAGATTTACTTATAGATAAGTTTTAAAGTTTCAAACATTTTTTAAACAATTGAATTAAACATTTTTTGTTAGTTAGTTGTTATACAATACAAATAGTTTTAGTTTAACAGATTAGATATGTATTACATTATTATTATTATTATTATTATTATTTATTAGGAGGAGCTGAGCACTGGTAGCCAGTCGTCTATCTCAATGATATATCTAACTATTACTACTACTACTACTAACTAAGTTAGAGTACATTATGAACTCCCATATCATCAAATAGTTAAAGGAAAAAATAAAATTATATTTTTTATTTAGAAAAAACATACAATTTTTTGTTTGTTGTTTATTAGTTTAATTGTATCAAAATAATAATAATAATAATAATAATAATAATATATAAGTTATTATATATGAATGAATGACTTATATATATATATATACTGTTATATCTTTATTACTTTATACTGTATTTCATGAATTGAATGCAATCTTTTATATTGAATCAATTGAGTGAATGTATGAATGAAATAAAAAACATTATGACAGTAGCTATGTGTGTGTGTGTTTGTGTGTGTGTGTGTGTGTGTGTGTGTGTGTGTATGTGTGTATGTGTGTGTGTGTGTGTGTGTGAGTGTGTGTATGTATGTAAGTGTGTGTATATGTATGTGTCTATATATGTGTATGTACAGTATGTATGTGTGTGTGTGTGTGTGTGTATGTGTGTATGTATGTGTGTATATGTATGTGTGTGTGTGTATGTGTGTATGTATATGTTTATGTATGTGTCTATATATGTGTGTGTATGTGTATACGGCACTCAACTATAATGTCAAGCACTGGCAAATTTGTTAGGTAAGTGCAATGGTTTAAGGTATGACCCAAAAAAATATATATACTGTATATACATATTATTGTTATTTGATGTAAATAACAGTAACACACACTTGTATATGTATAAACTGAGAGGTTTACCACATAATTGTGTTTATTTTATTGTTATATATATTGTATATATATATAGTGAAAATTGTATTTTTTTTAAAAAAATAAATTATTGTAAATTATGTATTGATTTATTATAAATTATTTTAACAACTTGTTTGTTAGCAATTAATTTTATGGCTTTTATGGTTAATTAAAAAACAATTTTTTTAAAAATATTGTTAAATAGATGAAACTAAATGAATTTTATTTTATTTTATTTATTTTTTTTGAATTACTTAACTAATAGTTTTTATTTTCATTAAATACTATTTTAATGTAAATAAAATGATATTTATTATAAAATAAAAAATTGCTCAAATATTTTACAAATTAAAATAAAACTATAATATAATACTATAAATCAAATCAAATATAACATATATAATAGAAAAATAATAATACAATTTAATTATTTAATTTAATTTGTTTTATAGATTTGTTTATTATTGTAACACAAATATATTGTATATATAATTATTGTAATAATTAGATTTAATTATAAAATTTATATAAAAAAAATATTAAATAAATGTCAAAATAAATGCTTACAAAAAATAAATTAGTTTTATTATTATATAAATAAAAAATTAACTATTTGTCTACCATCTATAGTTTAAAAATGATATTATTATTATTTTATTTTACTATAAGTATACAATACTAGTTAAATGGTTAAAATAAAAATTAAAATAATTTTTTATTAAATCTATAAAAAAAATTACTTAATATTAGTTTTGTCTAAAATAAATATATATTTTTAATTGTAGATATTTTAATTTTAATAGTTTTTAGGTTTTATATTTTTAAACAAAATAATAATAATAATTTAAATGACCTTGTAAATTTGTTATTGACACTATTTTTATGTTATTTAATTTTTATTTTTTAAAATTGATTAATTACATTAGTCATATAATATTTTTTATAAATACTATACAATAGTATATATATGATAATAAATAATACAAATATTTATTATTATAAATTTTATTTATTTTACATAACAGTATTAATTGTTGTCTATTTATTATTTAGTAACTTATTATATCATATATATGGTGTTTTAATATTTATAAAATACTAAAATTATATTATGTTTTACAATAATATTTTTATTTAGTAGTTATTTTTAAATTCTATAAAATATATATATATATTTAACTAAATATTAAATTTAAATTAACATTATATATTGTGTATGTGTCAAAAAATATTACAAAATTTATGTTATTACTAATTATATTATGTTTTTTTTAAATAAATAATTACATTGGTAAGTTTATCTATAAGTATAATTTTTAACTATAAGTATATATATATATTAATTATACGGTAATTTTAAAAAATATTTTTTAAAACTATAATATAAATAGTTGAAATTGTTTATAAATAATTATAATTATAATAATATTATAACCATTAGTTGCTAAGTAAATATTATCAGTAATATTTATTATAAAATATATCTAAAATTTGTAGTATACAGTAAAATCAAGTTAATCTATAGTTAAATTTTTATTAAATAATATTAATTTTTTTTAAAAAAAACATTAGTAATTTTACACACACTTAAATTAATTTTTTAAAAATTAAATAATATAAATAAATATTATAAATTTTTAGCTAATTAAAATTAGTGTTATAATTAATAATAATTATTATATACTAAATAAACTATGTTTTATTGTAATATTAATTAATTTTTTTATTATTATTTATATTCAAAAAAATAATAATCTACTAATAAATATAGATATATATATATATTTATTTACATTAAAATAAATTTTTTGATATGATAATGTTATCAATGTTACCCATATATACAGTATATATATATATATATATGTATAATAAATCTATGATAATATTAATACTGATACTAGAGGTTACAAAGTTTAATAATTATTATTATTATTAATATATAGTTAAAGTTATACACCATTTAATTTAAACCCTAGTATTTACTCTATAGTACAGTATATACAGTATACTATTATTGTGTGCACAGGTAGATATATTTTTGCATGTATTTCCCCCCATTTAATACTTTATTACTATATTAAAATCATAGTATGGATTAATCATTGATAGGAAATATACCCTCCAAAAAAAAATTTATTGATATAAATAAAGACAACTAACTATATATATATGACAACAATTTTTTTTCGGTACACTTAAAATCTGAAACATTATTAATATATAAATTATTATTATTATTAAAACATTTATAAATTTAATTCATTAGTTTATTTAATTGTGTTTAAAAATTATTTGATTGAAATAGTTTTATAATTGTTTTATATATTTTTTTTTAATAGTGATATCAAATTGATTTTTTTATTTATTAAAAAAAATATATTAATACTTTCTAATGGCACCTAATAATTGTGATTTAGACAAACCTAATGGTAAGTTAATTATTATTATTATTATTATAACTATTATATACTGTTATATATATTTTTTAGTTTAATATACCGGTAATAAACAGTTAAAATTTATTGTAAAAATAATAACAATAATAATACAATTAATGATTATTACTACTACTATTAGATATAATTTTTTTTTATTTCCTTATTATATAATTTGAGATAAATATCTAACTATTTATTATTATTATTATTATTATATCATATATTTTATATAAAATTTATTTATTTATTTTTATTTAAAATAATATTTAATAAAATAAGTAAAAGTGTGTATGTTTGAAGTTTAAGGTAAATTATAATTAAATAATTTTAATTTAATACAAATTTATTTAATTTAATACAAATTTATTTAATTATATAGAAATTTTTAAACATAATTTTGACTAAATTTATTTTTATATAAATTAAATAAATAACTAAAAATAAATTTTATAATTTAAATGCATTACATTTATTACATTTTTATTTAACGGATAATTTGCTTATCAATAATAATAATCATAATAATAATAATTATTATTATTATGTACTCAAATCAAAGATTATTATTAGTAAATGATTTTTATTATTAAAAATTACACATTTTTAAGTGTTTTAAATATTTAGTAAATAAATAAAAAACTTGAGTTAATTTTAAGTTATTATTATTAATAACTATTAATAAATGCCTTATTTGCTGAATATATTCACAAAAAAAATTTTTAAGTAATAATTACTGTATTAATAAATTTATTTATTATTTTTTTTTTGATAACATATCAAACTTAAAATCAAATCGAGAGTTAAATCATATATATATATATAAAAAAAATTATTTAAAAACTTATAAATGCTATAATTAAATGTCAATATCTATGTGTCTATCTATATGTATGTATGTATGTATGTATCTATAAGTGGACAGGTAGCTATAAATTTTTTTAAAAATATATATAACGGTTCCACATAATAATAATAATAATTTTATTAGTAATGTTATTACATTGTGTGTATATGAATATTAAATTTTGTATCCATTAGTTTATCCATATTTTTATCGCACCGTTAGTCTACTTGTACTGTATATACACTGTATATATATATATAAAGTATGCCCAGTGGTGGTGCCGGTGCCCATCATAAAAGTGTGATGATCTAAATAACTGTACAAAAAAAAATAATAGTTTTAAACCAAATTTAATATAATTTGAAAAACATAGGGGAAAGTTAGCTATTTATAGACACACACATAGAAATACTTCAAAATAAACAAAATTTTTGGTTACTTTATTAAATTGTAACAACACTTGTATTTTTACAATAATATTATATTATTTACTGTATTTGAAAGTGTAGTAGAAATTAATTATAAATTTATAAAAGTGTATCAAAAAAAATTGTTTACACTATACCTAAAAGTTTAAGTCTAAGTGTATGTATGTATGTGTGTGTGTGTGTATGTATGTGTATGTATGTGTATGTATGTGTGTAAGTATGTATGTGTGTATTAGTGTGTGTGTGTGTGTGTGTGTGTGTGTGTGTGTGTAACTCTCACCTAAATATTTTTTGAAAATCATAATTATACACTTAAAATAATAATAATAAAATTTTATGAAAATAAAAGGGTCACTGGTGTGTGAACACAGGGATTATCTCTCTCTCTCTCTCTCTCTCTCTTTCAATAGACAGCAATAAGCTATTAGTAGCACAGGTATCTCTCTCTCTCTCTCTCTCTCTCTCTCTCTCTCTCTCTCTCTCTCTCTCTCTCTCTCTCACATAAATCGAGACAGAGAGAACCGGTATGTTAAGGATAGGGAGGTATAGAGAGAGAGAGAGAGAGAGAGAGAGAGAGAGAGAGAGAGAGAGAGAGAGAGAGAGAGAGAGAGAGAGAGAGAGAGAGAGAGAGAGAGAGAGAGAGAGTAGTATTTTTAACAAATTTATATACACTAATAAATATATCTATATTTATATATATATATACCTGTATTAGTAGTGAAACTTGTTTTTTCCGGCGACAACAACACAACAAAAAATGTATCCAAAAAATATAATGTGAGAAATAATTTATATTTATAACTGTATAATACTGTGTATATATTTATACAAACATTTTGTATTATTTAGTTATATATATATGACATCACAAAACAACAATTTATGTTTAAGTTTAAGCAATTTATTTTATTTCTAAATCATGTTATCGTATTATTATTATTAACTGTATATAAAATATTATATAATATAATATAATAATATGATAATAATAAAACAGTGTATTTATTATATTATGATATATATATATAAACAGTTTTAAATAGTTTAGTAGTCTATAACTTATATGTATATAACTGTTATATAAAAATGTGTTTTTAAGCCATAAAACTGAATATTAAAATTATTTATAAAAAAAAAGTTTTTTTTAACTATAATACTACTTATAATAATAATAATAATAATAATAGTTTAGTATTTAATATTTTATTTTATTTTTTTCCGATATGTATTAGTGATTAAAAAAATAAAATTAGTTTCAAAGTATTATGGATTACACCTAAAAAAAATAAATAAATTGTTTATTTGTTTGTATTGTTTTTCACATTTGTTTTGTTTAAAGTTTTTATTTATTTATTTATTTATTAATAATAAGTGAAATCAATAATCAATTCACACATTTGATTAATAATTATTTATTTATATTAATTAAAAACTTCAATGTCATCATCCAATCTACTCATCAATTAATTATTATTATTAATTTAATTTAAATAATTTTTAATTAATTAATAATATCTACAATATTATTATTATTATCGTCTCATTTAATAATTTTTAATAAATTTTATTTCAACATTTCATCTAAATATTACTATTATTATTATTTTAAAATAAGTTATAACTGTATTATACCATTAAAAACATAAGTAAAATTAAATTTTATTAATAATATAATTAAATTGTGATAAATGTGTCCTAAATTTATTTATTAATATATATATATATATATATTGTCTTATGTTTTCACAGATAATTAAATTGTTTTATTTTATAATTATTATGAAATTGATTTGTGATTTTTGAAACAAAAAAATAATTGTCTGTAAAAAATATATTTATTTTTTTTGACAGATATTTACTATAAGTATTATTATTATTATTACTTTAATTGTGATTATGTTATGTAATAAATACTTTTATACTATTGAATACAAATAAATGTAAGATATTTTTGTTTTAACAGCAAAAATATATTTTGCAATATTTTTTGATTGAAAATAACTATTATTTTTGTTGTTATTTATTATTTTAGTTGTTTTGTTAAGAAAAAAATTATTTTTTAGTTATTTTGTATTAGTTTTGCTGTAATATAATAATAATAAAATAAATGTTATTTTTAAAATAAATGACATACAAAAAAGTTAATACTAAATATTATTATTATTGTTAAAATTAATTTATGATTTTAAATCAAATTTATTTTTTAGTCATAGTATTAGTAATAAATTTTATTAAAATTTATTTATATTATTTCAAAACTATCTATCATTGTTTTAACTATAAAAATAAATAAATATTTATATACTTATTATATTTATTTCAAACCATATTTGCTATAAATTTTTTTTTATTATTATAAACAAGTAGTGTATAAAATAAGCAAAAAAAAATAATAATTAAATATAAAAATATTTTTAAACATTTATTTATTTACATTATTATTATTATTAAAATAATATCTATTAATAATTCAATAAAAATTATTTAATTTTTTTTTAATTATAAAACATAAGATTTGAAAATGAGATCATCAGTCGTCGTCAGTCAACAACATCGGGAGTTAACCAATGGTCGACTACCAGTGCTCTCGACGACTACCACTACTATAGTTGATCCACTGTTCAGGGATTGGCTGCCGAAACTGTTGGCCGAAAAACGGCATTTAGTAGATGTCATCAAAAGTGTCTACCAGTGGAATATTACCCGCAATGGCCAAGTTATAGCTATTTGGTGTCGGTATCTGCCTATAGACAACCCCCTCCCTAACCCCAACCCCAACCTCCTATTGATTTGAGTATTATTGTTTTGTTTGGGACACACAGGTTTGGACCTAAAATCGGGTACCGGTTCCATATACGAGGGTCCGGCCAAATCAAAACCCGATTGTACCATAACTATTGATGAACAGGACTCGCTCGGGATGTTTAACGGTAGCTTAGATCCGGCTAAAGTAAGTCTAGGTCTACTAACTAACTATCTAATCTATCTAACTGTCCACCTCACCCAACCTCCCATCACTGTCCTACGTCTATCTACTAACTATCTAATCTATCTAACTGTCAACCACCCCACCCGCCCAACCCCCATCACTGTCCTATGTCTATCTACTAACTATATAATCTATCTAACTATCCAACCCCTCACTGTCCTATGTCTATCTACTTACTGTCCACCACCCACCCACCCAACCCCCCCCCCTCATTGTCCTATGTCTACCTACCCACCATTAAATAACTAACTGTTTTTTTTTAATTTCGGGGGACAACCAACCAACCAACCAGGCGTTTGTTAGTCGCAAACTGAAAATCAATGGCAACCTGGCCTCGGCCCACAAGTTTCAACAATTTTGGTCCGAGGAGGTCCAGTCGGGCAATATCAGGGACATCAACGATCGTATGATGCTTGCGGCTGGTAGTGGTGGCAGTGGTGGTGGGATGTCGGCACCTATACCTACACCGCAATCATCATCGGCATCAGCTTCGGGTGAAAGTTCGTTGCAATCGTTACTATCGTCCAAAGATGACTCCGAACTGATGGCCAGTATACCAGTTGATGGTCTTAAAAGTGATATTGTATTCAATACTATGCAACAGAGACTGATACAGGAGCCCGAACTGGTCGGTGCATTCAAATTTCTTATACAATTTAATATAACCAAAAATGGCAAACCTGTGGCCGTATGGAGTAAGTCATGCACTTTACCTACCAGTGCTTTCTCTCTATTTCTCTCTCCATCTGTCTCTCTCTCTCTTTCTCTATCTGTCTCTCTATCTGTCTCTCTCTCTCTCTCTATCTGTCTCTCTCTCTCTCTCTCTCTATCTGTCTCTCTCTATCTGTCTCTCTCTCTCTCTATCTGTCTCTCTCTTTCTCTCTCTCTGTCTCTCTCTATCTCTCTCTTTCTCTCTCTTTCTCTCTCCATCTGTCTCTCTATCTCTCTCTCTCTCTCTCTCTCTCTCTCTCTCTCTTTCTTTCTCTCTCTGTCTCTCTCTCTATCTCTCTCCATCTGTCTCTCTCTCTCTTTCTCTCTCTCTTTCTCTCTCTTTCTCTCTATCTCTCTCTTTCTCTCTCCATCTGTCTCTCTATCTATCTCTCTCTCTCTCTCTCTCTCTCTCTCTCTCTATCTGTCTCTCTCTTTCTCTCTCTCTCTCTGTCTCTCTCTCTCTATCTCTCTCTTTCTCTCTCTTTCTCTCTCTGTCTCTCTCTATCTGTCTCTCTCTTTCTCTCTCTCTCTGTCTCTCTCTATCTCTCTCTTTCTCTCTCTTTCTCTCTCTTTCTCTCTCTTTCTCTCTCTTTCTCTCTCTTACTTATCTCAAAAAAAATATTATCGATAATTGTTTTATCTAAAAATAAATTTTTTATTTAATCAATAGCTGTCGACACTAAAGCACCGGGCGGTCAAGTCTATCGCCAATTGCCGCGCAATGGCCAACGACCCGACGCTACCGTTACTGTTGACGATGAAAACTATGTGAAGATATTGTTTGGCAAATTGAATCCCCAACGTGTTAGTAGTAGTCGTAGTAGTAGTAGTTTCTAGCACCTACCTACCTAACTACCTGTCCATTTTGGCTAATTAACTGTTTTCTTAAATATTTGATAGGCATTTATGACTGGGAAAGTTGTCTGCAAAGGCAATATACTGTTGCTGCAAAAGTTGGACCAATTTTGGACACAAGTCCAGGGCCAGCGTAAAGATCCCGAATTGCCCATGGTCAAAGATATATTGCTCAATCATGTTAGTCTATAAAGGGAGGGGTGGGCTGGGGGTTGACCTATGATTATAATTTATTTATATATATATATATATATTTACTTAATTAGCCATTAAAACCGGGACTCCGTAGCGAAGTAGTCATCTTTGATTTGATTCAAAAGCTGGTCCGTCAGCCAAATCTCATGGCCGACGGGTGTGTCGTCAGGATTGACATTACCGCCGATAATGACCGACAGTCTCTAGAAGTGGTCTCAAAGTGGAGTTAGTTTTTTTTAAATTTTTATTTTAGTAAAATGTTATTTTTTTATTATTATTTTTGTTTATTGATTTAGGACTGGTATGGGTTTCGGGTCAGCCGTTAGGTACGATCGAGAGGGCCGATAACGATACGGCAGCCGCTGGCCATCGGCTAGTTGTCGGCGACCAGGATTTTGTTCGCCTTAACTATAATATACTCAAACTTGAAGATGTAATTAATTATATTAATTGCTAATTATTATTATTATTACTAAATTATTATTATTATTACTAAATTATTATTATTGGATACTATTTTAGTATTCAATAATAATAATAATAATTAATAATTATTATAATGATTAGTAATTTTGATATTATTATTATTAATAATAATAATATTCTAATATTTTTAAAAAATAATTTTTTATAAATAATTATAACTTAAATTTAGTAAATTAGTTGTTATTTTAGTTGTTTATTTTAATTTATAAATATTATATGATTTTTTAAAATTTTTATTTTTTAGGGCATAGCCTCCGGTCGGGTCCAATATCTCGGGGACAGTGCGGCCACTATTGTGCCTAAACTAAGCAAACTGTTTGCAACGTCAAGATTAGTGTCAAAGTTATAAAATAATATGTTAATAATTATTATTATTTTTATTATTGTATAAAAAAAATAATTACAACAACAACAACAAAAATATATGGTTTTTATTTAGATTTTTATTGAAAAACTTTAAAAATTAATGTTTTACTTATTATTATTATTATTATTATTATCAATATTTCCAAAGTCATACAATCATTAATTTTCAAGTCAATGTTTTTTTTTATAATTAATAATATTTTATTTTATTATTATTTTTGTCTACAATTATTATAATTATTATCTAAATGTTATATTTATATTTTCCAGATAATAATATCGATATTATAATATTAGAAATTTTTAATATTAAATTGATTTTTTAAAAAAAAATAAATTTTGTTTTTAATAATTATCAGAAAATCTCATATATTAGAAAAAATTGAATAAATGATATTTTTATTTAAAAAAAAATAATTTTTAATTATTAGAAAATAAAATTAATTATCAAAACTATACACTACTAACTATTAACAATATATTGTTTATAAAAAATATATTTAATATATAATTATCAATATTTTAAAATTATAATTATCTTAAAATTTATAAAAAAAATAGTTATATATTTATAAAAAAAATTATATATTTTATAGTTTACTTTTTAATTGATAATTTTGAATCAGACATGCGCTACATGTTTCGGGTTTAATATTATTACTATTAATAGTCATACTATGAGGACATACATAATTACTGGCCAACTGTTCCCGTAATAGTAGGTATTGTTTGTCACCACTACCACTACCACCACCACCACCATCAGCACCGTCAACACTGGGCTCAGGTATCACTTCAATAGCATTGATTCTACCGTATCTCTGGATGCAAAACTTTACCGAATCACCAGATTTTAATTTTATCATATTTTTGCTAATTATTATTATTATTTGAAAAATATTGAAAAGTAATTAATTGATTTTTTTTTAATTTTTAATAATAAAAATATCAAAAAAAATGTTACAAACTTTTCACTATTAGCGGACAGTTGTTTTTTAGTAGTAGTAAATTGTTTGGTATAAACTTTAACTAACAATTGTTTAACCGATTTGACTGACTATCGGTTAGATTTTAATATTATTTATATTAACAAATTGTTAAATATTTTTTTGTTGTTGAAATAATAAACTTTTATATTAATAATAATAAAAATTATTTATTTATTTTATATGATGTATATTTACTTAATATAATTATTATTGTTATTATTATTATTACATAATATTTTTAACGGATTTTCCTATTATTTTTTGTTGTTATTATTATTATTATTGTTATTATAAAATAATATTTTAATAAAAACCACTTATAACTTATAAATAAATAAATAATTTAAATATGTTTATTAGGATTATTTTTAACAATTTAAATTTATTAACCAATTATGATGATTATGACCAAGATAATTTTTAAAAATCAATGTGTTTATTGTATATTTAATTTTGTTAATAATTAATTATGCTTTTAAATAATTTTAATTTTTAAATATACATATATATATATTATAAATTATTTGCTTTATTTTTATTTAATTATTTATTATTTTGATTATTATGCTTATGATATTCAATAAAATCTATTATATTTAAAAAAATATTACTTTATTACATATAAATTAAATTTTATTTATTTTTGTTGTTTTTTTCTGTATTAATTTTCAAACCAATATTTTATGATTTACTGTATTAATAAAACCTTAACTAATTAAACATAACATTTATATAGTTATTATTTCTATTAATAATATAATTTTAATTAATAAATAAAATTGAGTTTTATTATAAGTTATTAGTTTTTGAATCAATTATAACAATATTTATTAGTGTTTTATTTAAATTAAGACAATAGTTAATAACAACAAAAAAATAAAACAAATTAAACTTAAATTAATAAAAGTATTTAAGATAAGTAATTATATAAAAATATAATTTATATATTAATATATATTAGAAAATAGTATTTAAATGTTTTAGTTTTAGTAAAAAAATTAACAAAAAAAACAATATCTATATAATTAAGTTAATATAAAATTTATTACAAAATATAATGAATTATATTGTTAATTAAAATTTAAAAAATATAACTTATCATAACTACATTAAAACATTTTATTTATAAATTAAAAATAGAAATTATTATTATTTATTAAAATCAAATTTATTGTTGAAAATAATTAAATAAAAAACATTTATTTTCACATTTAATTTATAATTAATTTTATTTTTTTGTTAATACAACAAAAATTAAAGTTTACTTTTTAATTGACATTTTTCTAATAGACATTTACTACACATTAATGGCTTATTATTATTAGTATTAGTATTATTAACATTATGAGGACATACAGTATTATTAGCCGACTGTTCCCCCATTAATAGACATTGTCTATCATCACCACAATCACCATCACCACTGGGCACAGGTATCACTTCAACATCATTATCGATGGCTTTAATACTACCGTTCCTCTGGACGACAAACGTTATCAAATCGCCAGATCTTAATTGAATGAGATTTTTGTTTTGTCTATAAATAAATTAATTTAAAAATAATTATATATAAAAATAAAAATTTTTTTTGACAAACTTTTTGGTCGACTTTTTATTTTTAGTAGCAATTTGTTTGGTATAGACTTTAACTACCAATTGTTTGACAACTTTGACGGCACTATCGGATGCCGTCTTCAACAATGATTTTTTCATCAAATCTAATCCATAGTTTAGACCACTGTATAGATAGCCATCGATTTGTTTATTGATTATCATATTTTTTGTGATTATTATTATTTATATTATTATTTTAATTAAATAATAAATTTTTAAGATTAATATTAGTTAATTTTTTTAAAACTTATTATTAATTTTTTTTTAAATAGTTTAAAAATCTATTAAGTTATTAAACAATTTATTTAATATTATTATCATTATTGTTAGTATGATATTCACATTTGTTATGTATATAAAGTATATGTTTTTATGTATATAAATATCATTTTTTGTGTTATATTTTAATTGTATTATTATTTTTTTTTATTACAAAATACTTATAACGGATTTTCCTTTTTTTCTATTAATATTAATATTAATATTAATATTATTAAATTCAGTGTTAAAAAACCACTGTTTTTCAACAATAACATAAAAAAATACAAAAATAGTATTTTAATAATTTATACAATAATTTATGATGATTTTTGTTTATCTAAATTTACTGATGATTTTGAAAAACAATTTTATTTTATTTTTAAAAATTAGTTGCCTTTATTTTTTTCTTTATTATAATTAAATAATAATAACTTTTTTGTTGTTATATAAACTCATTATAAATATAAATTATTAACAAATATATATATATATATATATATATATATTATGAATATTATTATACAGGTATATATTATATATTAATATTTTTTTATAAAAAATGTATATAAAGTGTATATATAAAGTATATTATTTAAATTATTAAAAAATAATAATAATAATAATTAACATCAAAATTTTTAATTACAATATTTTTTATGCAATGTTTTTATTTTTGTTGTTGAATTCAATGGTAATTATTATCATTATTATTATTATAAGTTTAAGTATATTTAGTTTAATAATGATTAATTACAATTAAATTATAGCTAAATAAATTACATTAATATATATACTAAACTGCTATTATATACTTATATTTTTTGTTATTAAAAAAATAAAATTATTTTTTATATATAATTAATAATTAATTTACATTGAATTATTATTATTATTATGTACTTGTATTATAAATTCATAATTATATATTTTTTAGTAATTTATTTTTGTAATGTATTATATATATATATATATACAGTATATGCATCGTTAAGTTTATGACAAAATGTATGTAATGTTTTAATATTCAATTTGCATATACATGTATATAACAATATCTATATATATATATATATATTATATCTATGGCACAGGTAGTTAAGTTAGGAAACATTTTTTTTAATTTAAATAATTATTTTTGTTGCCATAAATATCAATTAGTAAATACTATTAAAATATTATTATTATTATTATTATTATTATTAATGTTATCACATATATGTACAGTATATGAAAACCAAAAATAATTTAATTAATTATATATATTTTATTTTCTAGTTTATTTGATTTTAGCAAATTTGATGCTAATTAGTGGTTATTATTTTTTTTAAATAAAAAATCTTATAAAATTTAGTAGTAAATCAATTGTAAAATATTAATTAAAATTATAAGTTTTTAGTTATTAGTTTTATTTAAAAAAAACTATAAATTCAATACACATTTTAATATTTATTGTTTATAAGTTATTGTACATTAACTGACTAAAAGATATTATAATATTATTTTAATAATAATAATAATAATTTATTATAATTTAAAATTGTAAATTGTAATCAAATTTTTTATTTAATTTAATTATTTATTATAAATACAAATTATTTGATTGTATTTACAATTTAATTTTTTTTATAAAAAAACTATTTAATTAATTTATCTAAAGTATTATATTATAATTATTTGCAAATTTTCCAAAAAAAATATTAATAAAATAAAAAAAATTATAATCTGTATATTTTGTTAATAATTATTTTTTTTTTATAAAATATATTTAGAGACTAGAAATTTACAGCACATGTATGTAATAATACAACATTTTTTAAAAAAATAAATTAATTTTTTTATGAAAAAAACAAATAATTAAAAAATAAATAATACTATTACTGTAATATACAGAGAGTAGTAGTCGATAATAATAATAATAATTATGATAATATGGTTTATGACATAATATTAAACTTTATGTAAACTTTTTATAAGCCCTGAGCGCCTCCTCATCAGTGGACCAGTATCTATAGGGACCGATATTATAAGCTGACAATAGGTATGACCACTCAGTTTCCGGTTTATACCATTCAGGACCGTACTCTAGGTATTAAAAAAAAAATTTATATACAGTATAATATTTTTTTTTAATTTTTTTTTGTTGAAACAAACAATAAATTAGTTAAATATCACACATATATATATATTAATATATTGTATAATTAGTTTATTTATTATATTATTTATTACTGTATACTTATATTATAGCAGTGGGGGGTGGGGGTGGGATGGGATGTGGGTTGTGGTGGCAGTTATTTTTTTTTTGTTAGTAGTGGGCACAGTTAGGGGTGGGTAAATGGTATGAAAAAATTTTGATCATATTTTAAATTAATAGAGTAAGTGATTACAAGTAATTCAATTCAAAAAGTTTTTAAATTATATAAAAAACAAACAAACAAAACAAACAAAATCATTGATTATTATTATTACTGGTATTAATAAAACTAATAATTACCGGCTCTGACCACTGCTTCGGCAGTACACGGGACCAGTACTTTCAGGCCGACCAATTCGGCCGAACACAACCTAAACCATGGATACCAGTATCGGAAATACATGTGTTTGCTGGGCAGATGGCCAGTATAGGTCAAGTTAGGCCATTCCTCGTACATATAGAACAAGTCGACTCTCAGATCATCCCGACTCGTATAGAAGGCATACTGATAGCCATTATCCAGTAGACCGTAGATATAGGTTAGTCGGAAACCGACTTTGTTATGTAGCCATTGATCAGTTGCCTGATCTGTGGCATACCGGGCCCAGGTAGCCGTATCCAAATCTGATGTATAGGGTATTACACTGCACTGCCGGTACCAACCTTTTTAGGTTTGAATGACAAAAAAAATAAATAAAAATATTTAATTAATTAATAATAATAACAGTAATTAAAAGTTATAATAAATAATAATAGTTTAAAATACAATTTAATTGCTAACTAACAAACATATTAGAGATTTTGGTATTTTTTATAAAAAAAATAAACTAATTTTTACTTATAATTATATATTTCTATTAGCGGGTGGGGGTTGGTTTAGGGGTTACGATATAATCAATACCTAACAGTGTGCCACTGGATATAAATATAGGTATATGCAACTGTCGGGCCATTGTTTTCAAACTGACCAGGGCGTCCTTAACGGATTGATCCATGTTTTGATCATCAGTTAGATAGGCCGGATAGTTGGCCGCATAATCGCGGGCCACCCGATAGTTACATTCGACAAACTGGCCAGTTTCCAACTGAGCCAAATAGTGAACCCTATCGTCGGGCACCCATAGATCATAGATACCGTCACCACTACCACCAGCACTGGTAGTATTGTCGGCATCGATGGTAAACATATCGAAAGCCATCTCATGTTTGCCGTAATGATAGTCTTTAGGCATTGGAAAACTGTTGTCGCTATCGATGGTATCGGTGTTGTTGAGTAGTACTGCCGGTGCTGTTGGTATAGGTATGGCACCCATCCATAGAAACTGGTGTCTCGGATGAAATACCGAAATCTGTAGGCATTCGCCGTCTTTTGTATAAAACGCGTGCAATAATACGTCCGACAGATCATCACTACTAGTGTTGTTGTACTGTCTCTGACTGCCGTCTATGCCCTCGATTAGGGTCTCCTTATAGGACATGTCGTCACGTAATTTTGGTCCCAACTTTGTCTACGGAAACAAATAGTTTTTTAATGTTATTAATAATATATATATATAGCAAACAGGTATGTCGTGTAATATATATATACATATTAGGTATATGCCTATACCTTGAGCACCGGTATCTGATCCCTGAACACACCGAATGCTATACAATATTCCCGATTACTGACAATATCGTTGAGCAATGATTTCGATAGTAAATCATTTACTAATAATATTTGTTTGTCTCTATAATCCAGTGTCTGGTAGAGTACCAGTGGATCGATCATAACTGTCCTCAATTGTAGATCATGTGTAACCTCTAGAAAGTCTAGTATCTGTTGAGTCCATACCCGTGGCCGGACATCCATCCCATTATTACTACTACTATGTTTTGCCTAAATAATAATAATTAAATAAAAATAGTAATTTAATATATTTATTTAGTTAAATAAAAAAATTGAATTATTATTATTTAAAAATATATTACTACTACTACACAATAATTAACATTTTAACTACAGTATTAATAATAATGTAAAATAATTTAATTAATTAAATAAATTTATATATATATATACAATATATATGATATATAAAATTAACATGTAAATTTTTTTTTAAAAATATCAATAAAATTGTTTAAAAAATATCAATAAAATTGTTTAAAAAAATAATTTATTGCATTCATACTATTAACTAAATTATTATACTATATTATATTATACTAATTGAATGCAATTTATAATTATTTTTATTTTTTATTAAATTTTTAATTATGCGCTTTAATACAGTATCTACAGGTATTAATATAAAGTTATATATTTTTATTAATTAGTTTTGTTTTTAGTTTAAAAATTTAAAAAAAAATTGTTTTTTGGTTCATTACATTCATACTATACCACTGTATATATGATTGTTGTTCATTGAATTTATAGACAACTGTTATCATTAGTAGACTTAATATAACAATAACTGCCAAATGTTTTGATATAAATTTTTTGTATAGTATTGTCGATACGGACAGGTATGTCGATGATGATGATGATGATACAGGTGCTGATGGTGATGATGCCGATTGTGGTAATAGTTGATACATTTTTGTTGTTATTGTTTAACACATTTATTGCTAGTAGTAATGGTATTATTATTATTATTATTATCACTGAAATAAATAAATTTATTTTTAATATTATTATTTCGATTATTATTATTATTATTTAGTTTTCAATATTTGTTTTCAATATAATAATTATTATTATTACTACTATTACTAATAATAATATTAAATACAATACAATACAAAATAAAAACTTTAAATATCTATTGTATAAATTAAGTTATTGTACATTAAGTAACAGTTTGTTGATATAGTAGTTATTGTTATTTATAAATACAATAATAATAATAATTTTTATATAAACAATTTTTTATTTAATTTAATTATTTATAAACAAATTATTTGATATTATTTACAATTTATTTATTTTTTATAAACAAATACTATTTAATTAATTAATTAATTCATAGATTATCTAAAGTTTTATATTATAATTATTTACAAATTTTTTTTAACAACAACATAATTATTAATAAATAAAATAAATATATTATAATCTGTATAAATATTTTTTTTGTTAATTACTTAAATTTTAAACTATAATTAGAGACTAGAAAATTTGTAAGCACATGTAATCATAATGTTTTAAAATTTACATTTTTTAAAAAATTAATCAATTATTTAAAAAAACACTAAAAATTGAAAAATAATTAAAAATAAATAATACTTAATTACTGTAATAAATACAGAGAGTAGTCAATAATAATAATACTAATACTAATTATGATAATATGGTTTATGACATAATATTAAACTTTATGTAAGCTCTTTATAAGCCCTGAGCGCCTCCTCATCAGAGGACCAGTATCTATAGGGACCGATATTATATGCAGAGGATAGGTATGACCACGAAGTTTTCGGTTTATACCATTCAGGACCGTACTCTAGGTATTAAAAAAAAAAATTTATATACAGTTTAATATTTTTTTTTGAAACAAACAATAAATTAGTTAAATATCACACATATATATATTAATATATTGTATAATTAGTTTAGTTATTATATTATTTATTACTCTATACTTACTGTATATTATATTATATTAAGTATGTGTGAAAAAAGTTTGTTTAGTAGTGTCACAGTGAGTGAGTGTGTGAGTGTGTGAGTGTGTGAGTGTGTGAGTGTGTGAGTGTGTGAGTGTGTGAGTGTGTGAGTGTGTGAGTGTGTGAGTGTGTGAGTGTGTGAGTGTGTGAGTGTGTGAGTGTGTGAGTGTGTGAGTGTGTGAGTGTGTGAGTGTGTGAGTGTGTGAGTGTGTGAGTGTGTGAGTGTGTGAGTGTGTGAGTGTGTGAGTGTGTGAGTGTGTGAGTGTGTGAGTGTGTGAGTGTGTGAGTGTGTGAGTGTGTGAGTGCGTGAGTGTGTGAGTGTGTGAGTGTGTGAGTGTGTGAGTGTGTGAGTGTTTGAGTGTTTGAGTGAGTGAGTGAGTGAGTGAGTGAGTGAATGAGTGAGTGAGTGAGTGAGTGAGTGAGTGAGAGAGTGAGTGAGAGAGTGAGAGAGTGAGAGAGTGAGTGAGTGAGTTTAAAAAAATAAAATAAAGTATAGTAAGTATATTCTAATAATATTTTTTTTAATTAAAACAAATAAATTTTAAAAAATCATTGATTATTATTATTAGTTTTAGTAGTATTAATAGTAATGAAAAAATAATAATTAATATTATAATTAAATTAATAGTAATTACCGGCTCTGACCACTGTTTCGGCAGTACACGGGACCAGTACTTTCAGTCCAACCAATTCGGCCGAACACAACCTAAACCATGGATACCAATATCGGAAATACATGTGTTTGCTGGGCTGATGGCCAGTATAGGTCATATTAGGCCATTCCTCGTACATATAAAACAAGTCGACTCTCAGATTATGTCGTCGCGTATAGAAGGCATACTGATAGCCATTATCCAGTAGACCGTAAATATAGGTTAACCTGAGACCAACTTTGTTATGTAGCCACTGATCAGTTGCCTGATCTGTGGCATACCGGGCCCAGGTAGCCGTATCCAAATCGGATGTATAGGGTATTACACTGCACTGCCGGTACCAACCTTTTAGGTTTGATAAAAATATAAACATTTAATTTATTTATTTATTTATAATACATGTATACTGTAATAATAATTTTAATACGTAATAATAGTTATAAAAAATAATAATAATTATAAAATATAATAATAGTTATGATACATAATAATAAGTTATAATAAGTAATAATAGTTATAATAAATAATAATAAGTTATAATAAGTAATAATAGTTATAATAAGTAATAATAGTTATAATAAATAATAATAGTTATAATAAATAATAATAGTTATAAAAAATAATAATAGTTATAATAAATAATAATAAGTTATAGTAAGTAGTAGGGTAGGAGTGTCCATACCTAACAGTGTGCCACTGGATATAAATATGGGTATATGCAACTGTCGGGCCATTGTTTTCAAACTCATTAGGGCGTCCTTAACGGATTGATCCATTTTTTGATCATCAGTTAGATTGGCCGGATAGCTGGCCGCATAATCCCTGGCCACCCGATAGTTACATTCGACAAACTGGCCAGTTTCCAACTGAGCCAAATAGTGAACCCTATCGTCGGGCACCCATAGATCATAGATACCGTCACCAGTACCACTACCACCAGCACCACTGGTAGTAGTATTGTAGGCATCGATGGTAAACATATCGAAAGCCATCTCATGTTTGCCGTAATGATAGTCTTTAGGCATTGGAAAACTGTTGTCGGTATCGATGGTATCATTGGTGTCGGTGTTGTTGAGTATTGCCGGTGCTGTTGGTGTAGGTATGGCACCCATCCATAGAAACTGGTGTCTCGGATGAAATACCGAAATCTGTACGCATTCGCCGTCTTTTGTATAAAATGCGTGCAATAATACGTCCGACAGATCATCACTACTAGTGTTGTTGTACTGTCTCTGACTGCCGTCTATGCCCTCGATTAGGATCTCCTTATAGGACATGTCGTCACGTAATTTTGGTCCCAACTTTGTCTACGGAAACAAATAGTTTTTTTTTGTTATTAATAATATATATATATATATAGCAAACAGGTATGTCGTGTAATATATATATACATATTAGGTATATGCCTATACCTTGAGCACCGGTATCTGATCCCTGAACACACCGAAAGCTATACAATATTCCCGATTACTGACAATATCGTTGAGCATTGATTTCGATAGTAAATCATTTACTAATAATATTTGTTTGTCTCTATAATCCAGTGTCTGGTAGAGTACCAGTGGATCGATCATAACTGTCCTCAATTGTAGATCATGTGTCACCTCTAGAAAGTCTAGTATCTGTTGAGTCCATACCCGTTGTCGGACATCCATCCCATTGACGTCCCTATTACTACTACTACTACTATGTTTTGTCTAAATCATAATTAAATAAAAAAAATTTGATTTATTATTATTATAATTATTTAAAAATTAAAAAAATATATATTTATAACTATATTACTACTACTACTACACAATAATTAACTATTAATATTTAAATTAAACTATAGTATTATTGATAATGTAATATAATTTAATTAATTAAATAAGTCTTTATATATATATATATATATATATATATATATATATAAATTAACATGCAGTTTTTTTTAAAATTAATAAAATTGTTAAAAAAAATATTGTATTAATAGTATCAACTAAATTATTATACTATATATATATATATATATACTAATTGTATGCAATTTTTAATTATTTTTAATTTTTTTTTAGGTATGCCCTATAATACGCTATCTATTAATATATTTTTATCTAATATTTTTTTTAAATAAATATAATTAGTTTTTTTTAAATATATTTTTGGTTCATTACATTCATACTATACCACTGTATATATGATTGTTGTTCATTGAATTTATAGACAACTGTTATCATTAGTAGACTTAATATAACAATAACTGCCAAATGTTTTGATGTAAATGTTTTGAATATTATTGTCGATACGGACAGGTATGTCGATGATGATGATGATAACGGTGCTGATGGTGATGATGATACAGGTGCTGATGATGATGATTGTGGTAATGGTTGATACATTTTTGATGTTGTTGTTTAACACATTTATAGTATTATTATTATTATTATTATCACTGAAATAAATAAAGTTAGTTTTAATATTAGTTTTCATTATTATTATTTAATATTATTTTTAATTTTAATATTATTTTTTATTTTCATTTTCATTATTATTTAGTTTTAATATCAGTTTTCATTATTATTATTTAGTTATAATATTAAGTTTCATTATTATTATTTAATTTTAATATTAATTTTCGATTATTATTTAATTATTATTTTTTTGTTGTAATAAAAAAAACAAAATTTAGAGATTTAGTTAAATAACTTATTATTTAATAATAATTATTATATTATTTTTATTATTATTACTACTACTCCGACTACTACTACTACTAATAGATAAATAAATAGCAAATAAAAAAAATTGATTTTTTAAATAAATCATTAATTACTGCAATAATTAACTTATCAATAAAATAACTATTAATATTTAATTTATTTATTATTTTTATTTATTTAGCTGTATTTAAATATATATATATATATATATTGTTAATTACTTTTTAATAATACTAGAGATAATATAATTGTATTGTTTTTTTGTGTGTGTTTAAACACACGTGTAGACAATTTTGTTTTATTTTTATTATTATTATTATTAAAAAAATAGATAATTTGATTTTAATTTTTTTATTTAAAAAAATATTAACTATAATATAATAACATTTTTAAATAGTTAAACTTAGATTAGTTAAAAAAAATTCATATAAACTTATAAACTGAAACTATAATATAAATTTACTATTATTTTWTATATATATATATAGTAGTAAATGTGTAATAATAATTAAAAATATATATATATTAATAGTATTAAATTAAAAAAAAGTAATAATAATATAAAATCCAATTAAATTTTATAATATATTTTTAATGTATTCAACAATAATAACAAAAAATTTCTCACAAATAACATACCTGTTTGACTGCGTGTATATTATTGACGCAAATATATTAAATTAAATTAAATATATATATATAAATATATCTATTTTTGTGGTGATTTATGTACATTAAATAAAATTTTTTAAATAATATTATTTTTATTTAAAAACAAAACAAAAAAATATATAAATTATTTTGAGATCTATAGCTGTTTTTGTAAAGCAATTGTTAATAAAACTACGGTATAATAAATGTTTAACCAAAAAATTAATTATTATTATTATTAGTTAATATATATATGAAAATTTAAAAAATAAATATTTATAATTATTTATATTAAAAATGATAATATAATTTTTGTTTTGTTACATTATAATAGTTATTAATTATTTAATTATTATTATTATTTGGTGAGTTGGAGTTAAAACAAAATACTTATAATTTTATTTTATTTATTAATTATTATTATTATTATTAGAAATATGTTATATATATATATCAATATAGTATATATATATAGTATATATATAAATGTTGATATATTTACAATTTTATGTGTAATAATATATCGTAAATTATATACAATATATATAATATTAAACTCAATATAATAWATATWATTTTTTTCTGAGTAATACAATAATTGTTGTTAAGATAAGATAAAACATTTTATTTTTTGTGATAACAACTACACACACACATACACACACTTACATACACACACACACACATACACACACATACACACACACAAAATAACTGATTAAAACATTGTTAACATATTAATACAAAATACATATACATTATTAGTAATATATATATAAATCAATATATTTATACAGATTATATAATTTTAGCCACACGTTATACATTATAATTATCAATTAAATAATAATATTTTAAATTTTTTGTATTAATTATAATTAGATTTTTTTTTAAAATACACTATAATATGGTTTATATATATATATTATATTTATGTTATTTTTAATTAATTAAAGCACCAGGTAAACTATAACAAAGTTGTATTATAATACTATAGTATAGTTAATCTAACTTTATATATATATATACCTGTTTAGCAATTGTTTAAAAATATTTATATACAGTATATATCATTGTTTTTTATACTTATAGTATAATACATTGCTATACATACAGTATAATGTGTGATATAATTATGTTTTATATCACACACACACACACACACACACACACAATACTACTAATTAATGTAATATATTATACCTTAATATACAGTATATATATCATTTACCCATATAATTATCTAACAACAAGCAATGCCCTATAAAAATAGGTACAGTATATACTGTTACTCTAGTCATAAACAATACTATAGATTTGATAGCATTACATGTGTTATCAAAACTTTTTTTTTTAAAGTATTTATTTTTTCATTATTAATACTATTAATAAAGTATTATTATTGAATATTATTAAACACCTATTTATTATTATTATTATTATTAAATAGCAGGTATTGTCATACAATCAACAAAAAACAGTTAATAATTATAATTTTAGAAAAATATTTATTTATTTTTTTTGAATGAAATACCGGCCAATTAGTCGACGGCAGTGGTCAACACATATGTTCCCCGACCACCACCACTACCACTACCGCCATAGTGTCTATCCCAGGCCAGTAGTGGCCTCAGTCGCCGTCTAGTTAGCCAACAGTGACCACAAGTTAGGCCGAGTTTTACTAGCGAAACAAAAGCGTAAACACTGGCCAAAACACTAGTGGCCGAGTATCGGTTGTATACGGCCGGGGTTGCCATTGCCGATCCGAGTGCATAGACCCATAGTACCCATAGCTGATGTTTGTACAGTGCATTCAAGGCTATCAGTTCAATGGCCAACAATATACTGGCCGATAGACCGGCCGATACTGGCAGCAGCTCTAGTATGTTAGTAGTAATTATTATATGATAGACAGAGAGACAGAGAGACAGAGAGACAGAGAGACAGAGAGACAGAGAGACAGAGAGACAGAGACAGAGAGACAGAGAGACAGAGAGACAGAGAGACAGAGAGACAGAGAGACAGAGAGACAGAGAGACAGAGAGACAGAGAGACAGAGAGACAGAGAGACAGAGAGACAGAGAGACAGAGAGACAGAGAGACAGAGAGACAGAGAGACAGAGAGACAGAGAGACAGAGAGACAGAGAGACAGAGAGACAGAGAGACAGAGAGACAGACAAAGAGACAGAGAGAGACAGAGAGAGACAGAGAGAGACAGAGAGAGAGACAGAGAGAGAGACAGAGAGAGAGACAGAGAGACAGAGAGACAGAGAGACAGAGAGACAGAGAGACAGAGAGACAGAGAGACAGAGAGACAGAGAGACAGAGAGACAGAGAGACAGAGAGACAGAGAGACAGAGAGACAGAGAGACAGAGAGACAGAGAGAGTACTTACTCGGCTCAGGGATGTCGGACAGTGATCTACGGGCATCCAATTCTAGTAGAAATGTTAGGCCTAGTAGTCCGAGAAACATACAGTTGGTTAACGATAGTACGTAGAGTACAATCTGGACACCGGAGATGACCAACTCGTGTGGCCAGCCGTCGGTGTCGGTCATCGGGTATTATCGGTCGGATATTTTGTGATATTATATATGATATAATAACTGATATTATTTTATTATTATTATTATTATTTTGTGGATTAACTGATGATATAATTTTTGTTTTGTTAGTTTAGGTATGTCTGACTGTCTGTCTGTCCGTCTATGTGTCTGAGCTGTCAATTACCTGATAGAGTGCTAACACAAAACACTTGTGTTTTATTTATGTTTTAGTTTTACTAATAATCAGATGATTTTTTTGGACTTATTATTATTTTTTAAAAACTATTATAAATAATATTTATAATATTTTTTTTTGTTTTAAAAAAACTATTTAATATTTAGATAAACTTTTTTTATATAAAAACTTAGTTATTGTTAAAATGTTTTTTTAAAAAAAATAATATTTGTTTTGTTTTATAATAAATTATAGAATATATTTTAGTAATTTTTTTGAAAACTATATAAATTATATAATATGTAAAAAATTGTATTTAACTAAATATTATTTTAAATATACATTAATATTACAATAAATAAATATACATTAATTTGATTTAAAAACAATATATTATAAATACAGTTTCTAAAGATTTATTTATAATTAAAAAAATTTTGTTATAATAAATTACTAATATAGATAAAATGTACCGGTATATTGAATATTATCTAATGTATAAATTAATAAATTTATACAAATAATAATAATAATTTAATAATAAAATTCATAGTATAACTATTTTGACTATAATTTTTACCAACAAATACTAATTATATATAAATATTATTATTATTATTATTATTATTATTATTATTATTATTATTATTATTATTATTATTATTATTATTATTATTATTATTATTATTATTATTATTATTATTATTATTATTATTATTATTATTATTATTATTATTATTATTATTATTATTATTATTATTATTATTATTATTATTATTATTATTATTATTATTATTATTATTATTATTATTATTATTATTATTATTATTATTATTATTATTATTATTATTATTATTATTATTATTATTATTATTATTATTATTATTATTATTATTATTATTATTATTATTATTATTATTATTATTATTATTATTATTATTATTATTATTATTATTATTATTATTATTATTATTATTATTATTATTATTATTATTATTATTATTATTATTATTATTATTATAATAATAATAAACACATAATTTAATTTAAGGTAATTATATACTGTAAATATATTTATCTATTTATTCAATTTAATAATTAGTAGCAGTAATAATACAGATAATAATAATAATTATTATTATAACAATAAAAATTTTTTAGTGTATTTTAATTAGTATTTTAATTTATTTACTAAACTAAGTAAATAAATTATTTAAATAAAAATATATATTTATAAAAAAAATTAAATATTCAATGCATGTTATAATAATATATATTAGTTTAAATATTTTTATTTTTAAAAGACATTAAATATTTATATTATTATTATTATTATATTATTATTATTATTTTGTTTAAATTGTAGTTTAAATTTCACATAAGATTTCTAACACTTAATTATTTTATTATTATTAACTATTAATGATATTTTTTTTGTGTTTAAACTACTATATGCTTATTATAAATATATTAATAATTTTTTAATAATAATAATAAAATATAATTTAATATGAAATATTTTTTAATTAAAAAAATGTATGACTTTATTGTCTATACAGTACAGTACAGTATATAGTAATTGTTTGATACTTTTATTTTCCTCCTAAATACCGGTGCTATCCATACATACCTTACCTATCCATTAGTCAAAAAAAAATATATATAATAATATCATACTTGACAGATACCGGTGCCACTATACAGTATATGTATATATAATTTATCATATACTACATGTGCACACATAAAAATATATAGCAATTATATACAGTATATATATAGTATAATACTAATGATGGATTATTTGTTAAAAAATAATAATAATATAATATATGTATTTAATTTATTTTTTTATAGTGTGTTGTAATACCTTATTGACTACTATTAAAATTAAAATTATTAAAAAAATAACAACTATTATATTTGTATATATATAAAAAAAATTATATATTATTGTTTTGCAATGATATGCTAATTATATGATTTATTTAGATAGATATATATATATAAATAAAAATATGTAAATTATTGAATAATATACTTAACAAAAAACAAGTACTTAATWAAATGATATTATTTTTATTTATTAAAAATATCATCCAATGAATGTATAATTTATTTAAATATTTAAATTTTTTTAAAAAAAATAATATTTTTTATAGCAAATAATAATAATWRTTATTATTATTATTTCAATTTATTATTAAGTTTTAACATTTTTTATTATCAAACAAATGTATATATGTATATAATTTATGATTAAATATTTAAATTTTTTTAAAAAAATAATATCTATTTTAATATCTTAAAATTTATTCAGCAAATTTTTAATAATAACTCTTGTTCATTTATTATTATTTCAATTTATTATTAAGTTTTAACATTTTTATTTATTGTTCAAACAATTTCTATGTGTATATACTGTATATATAGTAAATTAATTATCGTATAATTAATTATATATTATTAAACAAATATAAATTAATTTATAACCAATGGTTTTAATAATAATGTTTATATACAGTAGTTTGTATTTTATCATAATATAGGATAATATATWTATACTGTATATTRTATATACAATATGTGTGTGTAATGTATTTTAACGACAGTTCAAAAAAAATACAAAAACTAATTAATAATAATAATAAAAACATAATTTATATTATATTATTAAATTTTAATGAAACAACTAACTATATAGTTGTTATTGTATAGTGTAGTAAATAATTTATATAAATTTGGGAAAACTGTGGTTACATTTATTTTACTAATAATTTATTTGGTAGACATATATACTATATATTATATACAGTATATACATGTATGGGAATTTAAAAAACACACTTGATGAAATATCTTAACTATAACTTTATTTATCATATAAAACTATAAAATTAATTAATTAAATAATATAATTAATTAATATATAAATGTTTATATAGTCTAATAAGCTATAAGTTTATATAGTAATATAATTTAATTGTCTAATTAAATAAAATTTGTTGACTCAGCCAAACAATAAATCAAAATATAAATGTATAAATAATTTATAATAAGTTCATATACATAAATGTTTTAAATTTTTATTTTAAAAAAAATAAATAAATTTTATTATTTATATCCTAATTATTTATTTATTATTTCATGTGATTATTGTAAGCAAATAAATTGGTTTTAAATTCAAATTAGATTACTTTAAAAAAAATTATTTTTTAAAAATGTATATTTTATTATTATCTAAATAATAATAATAATAATAATATTTTTTTTAGTGAAATTTTCTAGACTTGTGGATAAATGGCCAAAACATTTATTATTATTATTACATTTAATATATAGTTACTATATTATAGTATATATATATATATATTAATATTTTAATTTATTTTAAATGTTAATTTGATTTGTTGTTGTTGTTGTTTGTATTTTGTTAATTAGTTTTTTTTGTATAAAAAAATAGATAAATAGATAAAAATTATAATTACACCTTTTTGAAAACAAACATTAAAACAAAAACAATTAAAAAAATGTATATTAATTTTAAATCTATATATATATTATACAATACTTTAATATCTAAATGAGATAAACATTTAAATTATGAATAATTACTCGTAGATTACAAGCGCTGATAAAACCGGAAAAATAATGTAAATTTTTAGATAAAAAATTTTTTTTTTGTTAATTTGTTTGTTTGAGATATAAATATACTGTCAATAAAATGATACATAAATTTTTATAAAATTGAAAAAATAATAATACAGTATTATATTTTTAAATATATTTATTAAAAAAAATTGTTAATTTAATTTGTTATAAAGTTTTTTTTAAAATATTAATATAACACACAAAATAATTTTTAATAAAAATTTAATAATAGTTTTCAATATTGATTTTAAATGTTTAAATTTTCTAATTAGTTAAACATAATAAATATATATATATATATATTTAAAAAATTTAATTATATTAAAAACAATAATTTTTTTAATATTATTATTATTATCCATTATTTCCATAAAAACTGTCCATTTTTTAGCAGCTATCTGTCCTCTTATTGTATACACATATATATCATAATCTTAATAATAATATGTATGTATATATTATTAAACCAATGCCCCCGTCATATATATATATATATATATATATATATATATATATGTATAATTAGACGACTAATTTGTATTTTTATACCCAATTATTTAAGATAATAATAATAATAATAATGAGTTTCACTATATATATAAGATAACTATCTCATCATAATTTTGTTTAATAGTTAAGTAAAACATTTTTTTTCTCTACATTATTAGTATTATTATTATTTTATATAAAATTTAAATAATATAAATTTGTTTTTTATTGTCTCCTAACTATATATATAGTATTATAATATGTATATGAAAAATATAATCGCACTGTTAGTCAACCATAGGAATGGCATACAAACACCTCATCCTATATATCTAGAAATATATATATAATATATATTAAAAATTTTAGTTATATTAAAAACAACAATTTTTTAAAAAATATTATTATTATTATTATTTATCATTTTAAAAGTAAAAACGTGTATTTAAATTCAAATATATATATATATATATTAATATAATATGCATTATATATATATCTACGTAAATGTATATTACTTTTAATTTTTATTATTATTATTATTATTTTTTGTGAGCACTTTAAAGGAAAACAATTATTTATATATATATATTTTAAAGTACATTATATTATAATTAAAATTATTATTATCACTATTTTATTATAAAAAATAATTTCAAAATAATTTTTAATAATATTTTATCTAAATATATATAAT